TACGGGTCCATTGGTCTTCGCACTCTGGCCTTCGCCTACGTAGACGTTCAAGACGTTGATCCCGCTCACTATCAAAGTCAAAACACTAGCGATTATACTCGCTTTGAACAGAATCTGGTGTTCGTTTCTCTTGTTGGAATGCTCGATCCTCCAAGACCGGAGGTCCGTCTCGCTGTTGCGAACTGTAAAGCCGCTGGTATTCGTGTCATCTGCATCACTGGCGATAATAAGGGTACTGCAGAAACGATTTGCAGGCAGATTGGGATCTTCGGGGAGAATGAAGACTTGACAGGGAAGAGCTATACTGGCCGGGAACTAGATAATCTCAGTGATGAGGAGAAGATCAAGGCTGTACAACGTGCTAGTCTCTTTACTCGAACAGAACCAGCGCACAAGAGCCAACTTGTTGATATCCTGCAAGGTCTCGGGCTTGTTGTAGCGATGGTCCGTCGGCGTACTTGCCATCTCTGCCGCTAACTAACACCTCTCTTTTTAGACTGGCGATGGTGTAAATGACGCTCCAGCACTGAAAAAGGCAGATATCGGAGTCGCCATGGGAAGTGGTACTGATGTTGCCAAACTAGCTGCCGATATGGTGCTCGCAGACTCCAACTTTGCAACTATAGAGCTTGCGGTAGAAGAAGGTAGACTCATATACAACAACACTAAGCAATTTATCCGATACCTGAGTACGCGCAATTCACTTTATCTTAGTCGTTCTTGCTGACCCTTCCTAGTCTCGTCAAATATTGGCGAAGTCGTTAGGTAGGACTGTATACTGTTATCATTCCGAGTGGATCCTGACAGTTGACCATAGCATATTTTTGACTGTTCTGCTCGGCATGCCAGAAGCCCTTATCCCAGTACAACTCTTGTGGGTCAACCTTGTTACGGACAGTTTGCCTGCCACCGCTCTTGGGTTCAACCCACCTGATCATTCTATCATGCGGGTCCCTCCAAGAAACAGTCGAGAGCCTCTTGTTGGAAAATGGCTGTTCTTCCGTTACATGGTCGTTGGCACTTATGTCGGATGTGCTACCGTGTTCGGATATGCGTGGTGGTTCATCTTCTACTCAGAAGGGCCGCAGATCACATTCCATCAACTCGTGTGTATTCCTCTAACTCAACCATCCGTTCCATATTGATGAGTGCGGCAGACGCATTTCCATCAATGCTCTACACTCTTTCCAGAAATTGGCTGCGAGATGTTCACGAACGTTATGGCGCATCGGGCGACAACCATGAGTCTGTCGATTCTGGTAACGGTAGAGATGTTCAACGCAATGAACTCGTTATCTGAAAATGAGAGTCTGCTACGTTTACCCGTGTGGAAGAACCCGTTCCTTGTGGGAGCAATAACTCTTAGCATGGCACTTCATTTTGCTATTTTGTATATTCCATTCTTCACGGTCAGTCTTCCCGCATCAATTTTACTAAATTTGGAAAGTTGAAAACGTTTGTTCTTAGGCGCTCTTTCAAATAACACCGTTGAACTGGGCTGAATGGCAAATGGTTTTGTATCTCAGCTTGCCTGTCCTTGCCATCGACGAGGTCCTAAAATTTGTGACAGTGAGTATTAACAGTCTGCCATATTCTTTCCTGTGCCAAGCTCATTTGTTCATAGACGATGTTTATTGACCCTCCCACCCAAGTGGAGCTGAAATGATGGGATCATATTTTGGATTTCGAATGTATCAGCGTTGTAATAACGGAATCGGCTAGAACTCTAGAAGTTGTTAGTATCTTGAGATGGTCTACCAGTGCTGACAAGTACTGAGTACTGAGTCCCGAATTGCAACATAGTCAGGCAATTGACATGTCACCCATGAATATCATGATAAAATACACGTATGCCAGGACTGTCAGCGGCTTGGTTGCAAGTTGCAACTCGAACAATTGGCAGCATCAGGCACTGCAGCACCCTCCTTCTAATTTAAGGGCCAATCGGGTATAAGCCTGGGCGTCTAGAAGCCGTAAGTGATATTGTGATAGTCACAAGAGTCTCCATATAATATGTTGTATCTCAAGCGTCGGCTCACGTTCACTTTCTGACCATCACTTCTGTGTTCAAATTTTTCACAACAACGACCAGTCACTCTTTTTTCGGATTTCCTTCCCGTCGACCCTCACGCTCTCTACTTGTTTTCTAGGCTGACTGCATGCGCTTCTTTGCTCACTTGTCAGTGTTACTGTCGTTCGTGCTATCGTGGTGCTCGGTGTCGGCCAGCAGTGCCCACCAACTCCACCGACGCCATCATGATGGAAAGCGTCTGAATTCAGCCCTCGCCGTTCGGGAGCCAGGAGATGTTGATATGTACAAACGCGATTTCCCCAATTCCCGTTTCACATTTTATGCGGTCGGTCTGGGTGCTTGCGGTCAAGTAAACCAAGCCAGCGACATGGTATGCGATCAATTCAAATTAATTACCTGGGGCTAACTTCGATTATTTAGGTAGTTGCAATGAATACACAGGTAACAATTTCAAATTTCAGTGTTTTTGTAATGCAATTCAATGAGATTTTCTAGCAATTCAGTGGATCCTGCTTTCAAATGATCACGATTACTTGCAACGGAGTGACATTGCAGGCTCAGGTTGTTGACGAGGTAAAGACAACAAGCATCGTGATACTATTTGGATTAGTCTGACACCCAAAATAGTGTATGGGATGCCCCTACGGTGGCCTTGATTTTTCGGTCGGCCTTTTCGAGGGTTTCAGTCCACTTAGTGCCGGTGTGATCAGTGGTACATGGTCCTTCAATAGTGCCTCTGCTCCAGCACCGTCACCTAGTACATCCGCCTATCAACCACCCCCAGCCCCAACCACTAGCTCGCAGCCCAAAGCAACACCAACACCAACCCCACCTCCTCCACCTTCGACTTCGGCAACCTCGAGTCCCAGCCCTACACCATCCTCATCTTCGATAACTTCAAGTTCAATAAGCTCCTCAACTTCAAACACTTTTATTTCGTCGTCGCCTTCGGCGTCGAGCAGTGCCTCGAGCACAACAAGTGCCGATTCTGTAGTGGAGACCGCTGGGTCTGTTCCTGCGTCTGTCGGAGACTCTTCCGCTCTCATGAACCTCAACCTGGCAATGGTGTACCTTGGCGGACTTCTTAATGGCGCTCAGACGTAATATTAGCTGTTTCAATTTCGCATTCTGCTGCGGATTACTTGACAAAAGTATGGCATTGCTATATCTACTTTGTGGACGTTTCTCTAGTTCGTTTAGATTCAAAGGACTTATTCTTCAGCCAGTAGCTGCTATACCCACATAATATCGTACATCCCATTGCCTGTCCAAATTTTTCGGGGGTGGTTTTACTTGTCGATGATACTGTCATTACAATGTCGGAAATTTTTCAATACCTTGTCGGGCATTTCAAGGTTTAAGGGTGAAATGGCTGATCCAAAGGTTTAGAGTCAAATCGCCATAGAAATGTGGTTGTAATGGTACGGCATGTGGTTATATTATCGAAAAATAGCAAGATTCCTTGCAAATTCGTTTCAACAATAACATCAGTTGCGACACGGTTTGGTAGTAACTACGGATGTTCCCGGGGTCCTAGTCTGATAGTGGTTGGTATGAAGAGATTTCACTATTTTTCATCGTAACATAGACCACTCCCTTCTCTAAGCTTCCAAGTAACAAAGCTGTAATCTTACGAGCTAGTCATTCTCTTGTGTATACGCTCCTTCAACTTCAAATTTGATACAGACCACCTGCACCGGAAACTTGTGCCATTCCTGCCTTACAAATCGCACAATGCGGGTCACTACCATTCTCGGTTTTCTCTCTACAATCATTCCTTTCAGTTTCGCCCACACTCATGGTAACCACTGGGGCAGACGTCACCAAGAAGTTGCTATCCGTGCCCGTGGTGATGTGGATGTCCTTAAGCGTTCCTTCGATAACTCTCGGTTCACCTTCTATGATGTCGGCTTGTGAGTTTCATCGACGGGTGCCTTATTTGAATATTGCTCATCACTTCTTTTTTCAAAGGGGTGCTTGCGGAGACACTAGTGCTCCCTCTGACTTTGTCAGTATTGATAAGATATCTGGATGACGTCTTCTTCTCATGTTATGTGTCATTTTCAGATCGTGGCGCTAAATGTCGATCAATACGGCAGTGGATATCCTGGTCCAATGTGCTTCATGTCAATCACGATTTCTTATGGTGGAAAAACAGCCCAGGCTGTTATCATGGATGAGGTCTGTACTCCACTACCCTATTCCATACTGTGACCTTACCCACAGACGGCTAGTGTATGGGCTGCCCTTATGGAGGACTTGACTTCTCTACCGGTCTTTTCGACTACTTCGCGGATGCGTCGGAAGGTGTGATCTACGGGTCATGGTGGTTCAATGACGGAACTACTACTACGTCAACTAGCAGCTCAGTCTGGACTCCTGAGCCTACCACTTCGACTCCAAAGACGACATGGACTCCTGATCCTACCACTCCCACTCCAACGCCGACATGGACGCCTACTACATCTTCATATACTTCCAGCACTCCGACTCCTACCACTCCTACTCCTACTCCGACTCCTGCCACTCCTACACCCGCCACCACTCCCACTCCCACCCCCTCAACCCCCACCACCGCTCCCGCTTCGTCTGCTTCGGTCAATTACAGCTCAGGTGTGGGCAGTGGGATTGCCATCCCCACTGGGCCTGCTGTGGCTGCGCCAGACAGCGCCAACCCCCAAATTCTTCTGGCCTTGAACCAAGCCGTGATTGATATCGCGATCATGCTAGCAGCCGAAGAGAGCGGTATTTAAGGTCGTGCACTGGAACATTTCATTTGGACACAGGACGCAGTGTCTATCTTTATTACAATATTTTACTCGGTTACTTCTTCACATTTCACACAGCTCTTCTGCACGTTGAGCTCGTAGATTTGTTGCAGTGCTGTTTATACCCTTTCCCCTGAACATTCCGTTACATAAATATGCTGACTCCGAACTTGCTAGTCATGTGTTCTCGTGGTCATAGATATTGTAAAATTCATGTTGTTTTTCTTTGAGTTGAACTCAAATCATGGAGTACAGTGGGAACAAGTGAACGATGGCATTTACCGTTGTAGACTATGGGTTTATGCGATACCATGCATGAATGAAAGAAGGGGTACTTCTCCGCGAATTAGTGAGAGAAGCCGATTAGGAGGGCGTTTAGTCCATGTTCCTTCACCCACTTCAGGGAGCTCCTACGGCTACTTCGCCGAAGATCCTTACGTAGGGCTTTCTTGCTGGGTTGCATGATCTGTTGCAATTCGCTTTGATCTTTTCCCCGCTTCGCTACATAATCGTTGACATTCACATGTACCGAGGCCTTCAGAAGTTTTGTTGCTGATGATATGCTGGCGGGCGGCTGTTTGGAAATACCGAATTCGACAACAAGAGCCTGCAGAAGCAGGAGCTTCGCACCAGGATTCTTCTTCTTCACAGGGGCATCCAGGTACCTGCCCGCAATGAAGATAAATTATTTCAAAAGTATGAGCAAATACGCACTGCGTGATGTACGCTGCAGCGTCTTCATATGAACTATTGGTGGTTCTTGCCTCATGCGTTTCTGGATTCAAGATTTGCTCCACATTTTGGTTTGATTTGTGGACTTGGTTCGTACCCGATTCATACTCCATTTTGTTGACTGATAATAGATTGAATGGAATGGACAGCACATCCTCTGATATGCTGTCGCCGGAATCACTGTTGGGAGAGCCCTCCGCTGAGGTACGGGGTAACAGGACATAGTCCGTGTCGCTGTCGGTAACGCTACTCTCCGATGAGTATTCATCGCTGACGCCCCAGACAACTACATCTTCAGAAGCTTCTGTAGCACAACAAGAAATGCTGCTTATGATTTCGACGGAGGAATCGCTATGAGAGTCGGTCATTTTCAGTCTGGTGCGATTGAATAGGGGCTTCGATGCCTAGCGTCTACTAGTGCGCAATCAACGCATCTTACGTGCCTCAGCATTTTTTACTTACCTGGAATGATTCTGGGTCAAATGATTCAATAGAGCTCTTGCTATTGATTTTAGTAGGTGGAAGTCACAGAAGGACGAACGGACGAGCGAGCGAATCTGGAGCGAAACGATGTTAAGATCTATCTAGACTGTCGCGGAGTTTGTAATCCAATTATTAGTTGTCGACGTCATTACTACGGCCGCTACGAAAATCTCAAGCCTGGTTGGCCATACATTCTTCAAGTTCGGGTTTGCCACGCAATGAGCACTGATCCAGTTCCAAATCTGCCAGAGACACAGCGGGCTTGGAGATCTGTGAAGCGAGGCAAACCTTACGAATCTCTTGTTTTCCAGACGGACGTGCCTGTTCCTCCCCTTTCACTTGGGGAAGTGCTTGTGAAGGTCCAGGCGGCAGCACTTAATCCGGTGTAGGTGGCCTTACAGGACATTTATTGAACTCATTATATCTTTGAATTTCATTAGAGGATGGAAGCTCATGTCGGTTGTGCCCGACATCCTTGCCAGGAGACCAATAACACCAGAACATGATTTCGCCGGTGTGGTTGTGGATGCAAACGGCACTGAGTTCTCCGCAGGGGACGAGGTTATCGGGTTTATTCCTGTTCGTGAGTATGAGTATTTTCGTGCACATCACATTGACCCAGGTTGTTGGATAGCACTGCAATTGAAGACGGGGCAGGGTGCGCTGACAGAGTATGCAAAGCTTCCTGCTACTTATTTAATCCTGAAACCGTCCAATGTCTCTGCGATCGAGGCTTGTGGTCTTCCTCTAGCTGGGGAGACCGCCTTTCAGGCCCTAATCGGCATTGGAAAGCTTCAAGCTGGCCAGTGTGTGTTCGTCAATGGCGGTAGTTCAGCGGTTGGCATGAATGCCATTTATATTGCGAAGGCTCTTGGTGCAAAGGTTGTCACTAGTGCCTCGTCGAGAAACGAGGAATTTTGTCGTAACGCGGGGGCAGATGAAGTATGAGCTTTCTCCTGTAGTCATTTCTTTCCTAACACCCCGCCAGTTTCTCGATTATACGAACAAACCTCTTCATGAGCACTTGGTGGAAAATCCGCCCTCACCCAAATTTGACATCATCTTTGATGCCGTTGCTTTAGTTGACCCCGCTCTTTACGAGCACTCGAATGCCTACATGAAACCAAGAGGTATATTCATCTCAACTGGACCTTGGCCAGACCTAAAATCGTGGGGCGGATCTGCTGGCGTCTCAAAGTTTCTTTCTTTGACCTCCCAAATTTTGAGGCCATCGTTCCTCGGTGGTGTTAATGCAAAGTGGACGTCAGTACATTCTGCTACCAAACCATTGCGCGCCGCTGACATACGGTTTACAGCATCGTAAGCGTGACTCACAAACCACAGGATCTTGCAAAGCTGCGCGATTTAATGGCGGAAGGTACCGTACTGGATCTCTCGTGTGTTTGGTACTCGGGTTCACCTCATTTCAAGGCAAACTCAAACTGACAGTAGACTCCGTGTATGGATTCGAGGACGTTCTCAGTGCGTACGAGCGCATCATGACATCACGAGCTACTGGCAAAGTTGTAGTCAAAATAGATGGCAGCCTGTGACAACGTTATTCAAGTACTGGTCTGCCGTAGATACATTTCGTTACCTCGTGCAAATGATTCTACCTGATATCGAATCGGGATCGTCGAGAGGCACCGAAGAAGTTAATCACCAGACAGAAAGTGATGGCATCTGGTTCTGACGAACTCGCCATGATATTATAATTGAAATGTATATCGACTTGCAACATTAGCCATCTCTGCAGCCATCTCTGCAGCCTTTGCAGGTCTGTAAACGCGTCCAACACGCGTCCATACTAATAAATGTTTACATTAATTATGATGCTAGCCACAGAGCTGATTATGAAGCGATATTATGTCAGCAGATTAGATGTGAGGGGAGGACCCTGTGCCCATTGCCCAACATCCCTTCCTTGCTGTTCGTAATCTTCCTTCATCTTCGCTTCAACGGAGGCGGAACCTGGAATCATCGACCGTAATATCGCAGCAGCTTAGGTGCAGTGCATTCTTGCAACCATGGAGGTAAGCTCTTCGCGCTTCATCATCGTTTATTCTTGTTCAAGTTAGCATCTAGGGCTTGCTCGATTTCTCGAGGGAGTTCGATGTTTCCCTGCTGGATAAAGTCGTCATGGCATTTTACACCGGCTCTGGCCAGGAAGTGAGTGCCGGAGCTACCGTTCGTCATTTGCGATGAACTGACATTCATTGACCAGCAACAAATGGCTCAACACGTGTTGACGCAGTTTGAAGAACATCCTGACGCATGGACAAGGGTTCCTGACGTTTTGGAGAGATCCTCATTTCCGCAGTCAAAGGTACTGTCCCCTACGAAAGACGTGTTCATAATGGCTGATTCCGTATTCGCAGTACATCGGCTTGCAGATTCTAGAAAAGCTCATTGTGACGCGATGGAAAACACTACCAGATGGACAGAGATTAGGCAGGTTGTTCATTCATATAACTGACCTGGCTAACGTCGCGTGTAGGAATCCGTAATTTCGTTGTTGGAGTCACCGTCAAGGTGGCATCTGACGAGACCACCATGCGGAAAGAGAAGACGTACATCAACAAACTGAACCTCGCCCTCGTTCAAGTGAGTGATACGCATACACGAGTGTAGGATGATCTTATGGATTAAACCTTTCAGATTCTGAAACAGGAGTGGCCACATAACTGGCCAACTTTCATCACTGAACTCGTGGAGTCCTCGAAAACCAACCTTTCCTTGTGCGAGAACAATATGGTCATATTGCGGTTGCTTTCAGAAGAAGTCTTCGATTTCTCTGCTGAGCAGATGACGCAAACCAAGATCAAGAATCTTAAGAATCAGATGTGCGGCGAATTCAGCGAGATCTTCAAACTCTGTTCCGAAGTTTTGGAGGAGGCCCAGAAGACAAGTTTAATCAAGGCAACTCTCGAAACATTACTGCGTTTCTTGAATTGGATACCTCTGGGATATATTTTCGAGACCATGATAATCGACACACTTTTAAATCGCGTAAGATTGTCATCACTTCGCCTCAAACTAAGTTAACTGTTCTGCAGTTCCTAGAAGCCCCTGACTTTAGGAATGTGACGCTCAAATGTCTAGCAGAGATTGCTGGATTGAACGTGGGCCCAGAATATGATCCAAAATTTGTCATATTGTTTGCCATGGTCATGACCTCCGTCAACCGCATGATTCCTCCTTCTACCAACATTGCTGCGGCATATTCTTCGGCATCAGACGCCGGTCAGGAGCTCGTTCTTAACCTCGCCCTCTTCCTTTCCAACTTCTTGTCCACCCATCTACGCGCTGTCGAGACCGAGGCGAACCGTGATGTTCTGTTAAATGCACATCTTTACATGGTCAAGATCTCCCAAGTTGACGAGCGCGAGATTTTCAAGATCACTCTTGAGTACTGGTCGAAACTCGTGGCAGAACTCTACGATGAGATCCAAGCTCTTCCTATTGGTGAGAGCGGATTACTCATGGGCTTGAGCCTCGGGAGCAGCAGCGGAAACATGCTCAACGGCATGTCTTTGAGAAAGAACATCTACAGCGACGTATTGAGTAACTTGAGACTTGTTGTCATCGAGCGAATGGTGAAGCCAGAGGAGGTACGGTTCAGTTTTCCTTTCTTGTCTTCGATATAACGATGGTTTCAGGTACTAATTGTCGAAAATGACGAGGGTGAAATCGTTCGTGAATTCATGAAGGAGTCGGATACGATTGTCCTCTATAAGCAGATGCGGGAGTTGCTGGTCTATCTCACGCATCTTGATGTTGTGGACACCGAAAATATACTGACCGAAAAACTCGCAAAGCAAGTCGATGGTTCGGAATGGAGTTGGCAGAACTTGAACACGCTTTGCTGGGCCATTGGAAGCATATCAGGAGCCATGAGTAAGTGCTATTTTCGTAGCCGTCTGATCTGCTCTAAACCCCTCTTGCAATCCTCAGATGAGGAAACCGAAAAACGCTTCCTTGTCACCGTCATCAAGGATCTATTAGGATTGTGCGAAATCAAACGAGGCAAAGACAACAAAGCTGTCGTCGCCTCAGATATCATGTACATCGTCGGCCAGTATCCGCGCTTTTTGAAGGCACATTGGAAATTCCTGAAGACAGTCGTCAATAAGTTGTTCGAGTTCATGCACGAGACCCATGAAGGTAAGGAGCCTATTGCTGAAATACTCTTGTCACTCTGACCATGTCTGTATGACACCTCCAGGTGTGCAAGACATGGCATGCGACACGTTCATCAAGATTGCTCAGAAGTGTAGGAGACATTTTGTCATGCAACAATCGGGAGAACAGGAGCCATTCGTAGACGAAATATTGCGGCTACTTCATCGCATCACTGTCGACCTGTCGCCTCAACAGGTATGTTGCGTGATCTTATTCGGGTATGCCTTCTTATTTTTCCAATAGGTACATACCTTCTATGAGGCCGTCGGTTACATGATTTCTGCGCAGCCCAACAAACCTCAGCAGGAGAAGCTCATTGCTAAACTGATGGAACTACCGAATAACGCTGTGTGTACCTTTTTCATCAGCGAGAGAAGTCCCTTGCTCACAATTTCATTAAGTGGGATTCATTGATGGCTCAAGCGGCGCAGAATATGGATGTCCTAAGCAACCTTGATAATATCAAAATTTTATCTAATGTCCTCAAGACGAACGTGTCTGCTTGTACATCTATTGGCAGCTTCTACCTGCCTCAGGTGGGGCGGGTCTTTTTGGACATGTTGGGTCTGTACAAGGCAGTCAGTGGCATTATCAGCGAGACGGTAGCTCGGGAAGGTTCGTGGTTCAGCCTTCCCAATTCCTTCCTGTACCGTAGCTAATCCCCGATCATTAGGCACCATTGCCACTAAGACGCCAAAGATACGGCAGTTGCGCACCGTTAAGAAGGAGATCTTAAAACTGATGGAGACGTATATCAAGAAGGCTGAGGACCTCGAAGCTGTGAATACGAACTTCATGCCCCCACTACTGGATGCAATTCTTGGTGACTACAACCGCAATGTACCGACTGCACGAGATGCTGAGGTGCTGAACGTGATGGCTACCATCACAAGTCGTCTCGGGGTAAGTGCATAGCATGGCCAATACCGTGCTTGTTCGCTCACCCCATCCTACAATCACAGCCTTGTTAACTCCTCAAGTTCCTGCCATTCTTGATGCAGTCTTCGAGCCTACATTGACCATGATCAACCAAGACTTTTCTGAGTTCCCAGAACATCGCGTTGGGTTCTTCAAGCTCCTCCGAGCAATCAACCTTAATTGTTTCCCTGGTATGTGCTTCTTGATTTTAGAATCATCTCCTCGCACTAATAACTTTACAGCTTTGCTTGGCATCCCACCGCAACAGTTCAAGCTGTTCATGGACAGTATCATCTGGGCAATTAAGCACACGATGCGTGATATTGCTGACACCGGACTCAACTGTGAGCACATACTTCACGTACATGGAAAGGGCTCACTTACGTTCTCTTTTAGTGTGCCTTGAGGTGGTCAACAATTTTGCTGGCGCAGAAACTGCCGTCAGCAATGCGTTTTTCCAACAGTACTTCCTGAGTATTGTGCAAGATATATTCTTTGTACTCACAGATACAGACCACAAGAGTGGTTTCAAACTTCAAAGTCTTCTACTCGCTCGCATGTTCCAGCTAGTTGAGACGAACCAGATCCAAGCACCCCTATTTGATCCTGCACAGATGGCAGATCCTACCGTTTCAAATTCCGTGTTCCTTAAAGAATATTGTGCCAATCTATTGAAGACAGCATTCCCTCATGTGCAGAAGTGCGTCCCCTTTTTCACTTTCCTACTGGCATCTCTGAATGATTTCTGTAGCTCGCAAGTTCAAGTCTTCGTCTCGGGTCTTGGCGAGTTCCACGGCGATATCAACCGCTTTAAGCTCGCTCTACGTGACTTCCTCATCCAGCTTAAGGAGTTCTCCTCTGGCGATAATGCCGAGCTGTTTTTAGAAGAAAAGGAAGCAGAAGCACAGATGAAGGCCCAAGCAGAACGAGAGATGGCCATGCGTATCCCTGGGATGCTCAAACCTTCGCAGCTCGAGGACAAAGACGAGGATATTTCATGAAAGGTCCCAGTCCTTCTGTCATGTACCGTAGTTTCTCGCACAAGTCGCGCCCCATCTCACCTTGCATGCACTCTATGTCTCACTTGCCTTTCCTCAGAAAGTGGACGAATCTCATTTTATCACCTTTTATCATAGCAACTCATTCTGCTATCGAAGATTTCTTGTGTTCTCGGTATCTAATGTATTAGTGTGTAGGCCAGGCAATACAAGAAAGTAGTATATCTAACTTATCTAACATATGTTAGGGACGAAACCCACGGAAGTAAATCGCGTGACTCTCATATGCGTGCCTTGAGCTCCACCTGCACTCCACCTCTCCTGTCGTTCGCAGTCTGCTGGCTTCGCGCTTATCCATGTCTGAGCTCCACTCTGCGATACGGAAAATGAAACTGCTTACTGGGACGGATCGGTAACGTAATAACATTCAAGTTGGTGATGACGCCTGCATTACCTGGAACTTCATCCAGCTGAACAATGAGGACAAGAAGGTGAAGTGGCCTATGGATGGCGTCTCGAGTCTCGAGTCTCGACGTGTCGCAAGAGGCACCCCACGACCGATGGTTGGGGTGGGATAACAGCGATCATTTGAGCACAACTCTGGGTTCTTCAGAGGATGGCGGCGAAAGGATAGGCACCTCTGCCGGTTTCTTGGTGAGAAAGACAGCATTAATCTAAGAAGCCATGACCATCTCTGTCTTCACCTCGATCCGTCAAGGACCGACGGTGACAGCAGCTGGTTCGATGAACTCACGCAGGTTTCAACCATCAGCTGTATTTCACTGCAGAGAACTTCTGTAGCGCCATATGGGAACCTAGAATTGATCAGTGAAGAGACACATGAGGCATAACACCGGAGATAAGGCTTACTTGAGTCATCCTTGTTTTCTTCGTCTTCGATCTGACCAGTCATATATCCCTCAAGACGTCTACACGCTGAAAGTAGTCGACGAATCGCGTTTTCTGCGAATTGATAGTAGAACATCTTTCCGTCGTTCAATGTCCACTGGTATATCATCGATCGAGGAAGGGTTGTGAAATCCGAATTTACTGAAGAAAAAAGATCACACTCTATTTGAAAACCACGATATGAAGGGAAAGAACCTACCTGCAGAACATTGAAGTAGAGTGATGTTGTTGAAAATGAGGAACAGTGTAGACAGAGTATAGTTTGTTACCAAGACTGCAATGGTACATTACTGTTTGGTAGTGTGCGCCGTGTGCTGAACCCGGTGGAGGAAGTTCCAACCTTTATTCATCACCATCACGATGTTCAAAAAGTATATACTAGCATTGTATTCGCACAGCGGCTCGTCGCTCACGATTACATCCTAGGTTTACGCCATCCACAGATATCGCAGGCCAAACGCCACCCAAGTCTTCTGTACAACGATCGATAAGGGCTGCTGTGCTTCAGCAGTGGAAGATCGGACTAGAAACACTCGAAGAGATCTGGCCCAAGAAGGAGACATTAATCCACGTAAAATGGTACGTCTTTCTGGGTTCTGATGAGTCTGTCAGACTATCTGACATACTCGGTCTGCATGACAAGAAGCAGAGAACACATCTCAATATACTCCGTCCAAAATGTACCCCTCTTTTTCCAGCATTTTGATGGGCCGTTCTACCCCACCCTTCGATTACTTCACCAGTGTAAGCCACTCCTCGGGTCTGATGTTGTCAAAACACATATGAAATGCACCATTTGCAGATCCGTTCATTCTACCTAAAGTTGGCGTTGACAGGGGAGCAATTCGCTTTCTGCTGGCAGGTGCTCCCATGATGTGTCCCGGATTAACTTCAGCTGGAGGTTACCTTCCTCCGTCTGAGGAAGCATTACCAAAAGGTACCGCTGTTGCTGTACATGCTGAGGGAAAAGAGCATGCTGTTGGAATCGGAATCACCGCGCTTGGGACGGAGGATATGCGAAAACTGAACAAAGATGTAGCTGTCGAGATTGTCACACATCTGGGAGATGACTTATGGGCCTTGCAAACTCTGTAGTTTCCACGTGCCTTTTTGGGTGCTTCCATTGTAACAGATCAATATGCAACCTTATCTATAAGTGACTATGTGGTATCTTAACAGTTACTAGCACACTTGTAGTCGATACTAGCGATTTCCGGGTTCCGTACAAGCCGGTACGGCGACGATGAGAGTCTTTTTTACAATGTTCCAGTTCCTGGCGCAACAATTGACAGGATCAATGCTAGCGAGCCCCGGACTGTCGCCACTGTGCGAGCCGGTGGGGTAGCTCGTCCAAGTCACATCACACATTCGTTTGTTCTATCTTTCACACCGCCTGTCACGTACTAACCTCAGGAACCTTGTTCGGCAATGGAAGATACCTCCTTCGCGTATTCACAAGCCACGACTCGTGCCCGTGCTCGAAAGAATCGGAGAGGTAACGGCAGACGCGAACCGCCCTTGCTGATAGACCTCATAGATCGTTGCAAAGCGGATATTGAATCCAATGGCTGGATAACGACTTGTCTAGGTTGGCAGCATGCTTTCATTGTTTGAGCGTCTTGTTGATTTGTATCAGGTCTCTTACAAGACGCCCTGCGGAGGACTAATGTATCATCATGTCCCGATGTGCTGTGTCTTGGTCTGGGGAGTCCCTCATCGTCCCGTGAGGCCCGAGCGCAACTGGCTTTCCTCATCAGTTCATGCACCATCTTAGAAATAGTGAGTTACACCATGTCACGGCGCTACTACTAGTACTTCTTCTGACGCTGGTTCTTTGTGTTGTAAGGGTCCATCAAATGTGTCCGTATACGATCCAGTGTTTACGGATGCAGATAAGGCATTATTCCAGAGCTTCGGGATGCGATGTTTGCCAGACACAGCAAGTCTTTTGTTCTGTCATTGTACGACAGTGTCCGATAAGTGCCTGTTTTATTCCAGGACGGAAAGCATGCGGTAGAACGTCCAACAATCCTGTTTATGCCGCATTGTGACCTGAAGCTGTACGAAAACATTATCGGTGCTAATTGGTCAGAAGAGCAACTGGCGCGCATCATCTTCGTTGCGAACCGGTTCAGCGATTACACCGACAAGTACGTGTACACTATCACTTGAGAGGATGTTTATGGACCCTCTCCGCAGCCACCCCCAGTCAAAGTTAGAAGTCGAATCTCCGTACTTGATGCGTTTAGGTGGGATTGATCATAATAACAACGAATGCAGGCTAATCTCACGGTTGATATACAGTTCCCCACCTCGAGTCCCACTCTCTTCCCGCATTGGAAAGCTTCTCTTCGGCGTTCAATAACATTTCAGTCCAACACGTGAAGCACCCCATTCCGCAGTCAGTAGTGTTCGCAATAAGGTAGTCCTAAAACGCCGTTCCTCCCACAGCGGTAGCGTAATGTCGTGAGAAGGAGGGTTCAAGTTGTTCCCCGTGATGGTCACTCCTGAAGAGGCGGAAGCGAGAACCATATTCCCAAAATGGAAACTAACATACATGAACAAAGTGACGGTTATGTACACTACTTACTATAGGGCAGAAAACCATATTCTAGGTTAAAAAAGGCGAAACTAACATTCATGATAGACAGCATTATACGAAGTGGAGTGATCTTCATCGGGAAATGGAAGGGGATCGAGCGCATAACGATCAAAATAAGAGTCCGGATGCCGGATGTACACGTGAGGCTGTGACCGTCGCCTCCTCCGTTGCCCTGGAAGAGGCAGGGACGTCGAATCCACAAAGTCAAGTTCTGACGAGCGTCCTAGGGAAGGCGTGGAAAGGGCATCGGACTCGTCATCTGAAGTGTCCTCTATGGCTTCTGGGACAGATAGATCGTCTAACTCGTCGGCATCATAGTAGGGTAGAGCGTCATACGCTGGAAATGGTGAAATAGGAGACTCAATAATGGGACCAAGATCATATGGACGAACAAGTGGTGGATGGAAAGGCGGATATGGCACAGGATATGGCACAACGTATGCTTGATGGCTGAGTAGGTCGTCCGACGAAGACATTGGTGACATCAAGGGGCTAAGTGGGGAATCTTCATCATCTTCAACTGCTAGGACGGATATGCGAACGTCGGCATCCGATGCGTCATCTCCACCTTCGACTAGGGATTCTAGAAGTGAGTCGAGCCACTCAGCTTCGGATGTACTGGCTCCGACCCCCACAAGCTTGGAAGCGTCGGGGAACATGAACGAATCCAACTCCTCTTCCTGATCGTCGTCTTCGTCAACATCGCTTGAAATGTAAACATGTTTTGAATAAGAAACACTGGTCGCCGCACTGGGCTCATAGGGGGCGCTAGGTGGTCGAAATATAGAGTTTTTGAGAAGCACCCAGCGGTGTAGGCTGCCTCCCATAGCTGAATGTAGCTTGGAACGGGCCATGGTGGAAAGATCTACGGGTTGTGCTGACATGTGAGGGGCGGTGAATTTCAAGGCGTATGATGGAGTGGCGTCTGACACGTCCAAGACAGAATGTTAGTATATGATTCCTTCCTGGCCAAACTCATATATAACGTACCCGAGTCAAAAATTGTTCTACCAGGGTTGAAACTGGTTTGACCGGTGTATACGATAGACGATGAATGGTTCGAACAAGATGGTGCCGTTGTTGGATTTACGGGCAAGTTTGTTAACCATACTTCAGGAGAATGGTGGGCCTACGCTCTTTAAAGGGACGCGGCAATGACGAATTGGAGAGGGGCTCTGTTTAAAGACGGAGAGCTTATTGTGCAAACATGATGATGGACGGGGAGGAAAAAGTGTGGACGGCAGGGGGCGAAGACGGTCTTATATAGGAATTTTGAAATAGAGAAACCGTGACAATGACTCAAAATGATGCACTTCGGAAAGAAGCATTTACCCGGGTCACCGCCGGGCGATATCACAAATATATCCAAACAACCTCCTTTGCGATAACGCCACCACGCCAATGATAAAAAAAAATGTTATATGCACCGCGAGGTTTCAGCTATCTACACGACATGAACGCCGTTCCGATAGATGCGGCCCCCTCAACCTTCATCCATCTGGTCATCCCTGCCTTCTTCGTCCTTGACGGTATCAATAAGTTTCTTCAGTTTGTTGACACTCTTTGGTGATGTATCGCGTGCTATGGCGAGCCAGTGCGCCGATTTTACCTCATCACCCATTAATCGATATACTTTCGCAATCTGGAACACTACATTTGACTCCTCGGGAGATGAGTCACGAAGCTGAAGTAGATCTTCCAGCGCTTCCTGTGAGTGTGGGAGAAAAGTTATGTAAAAAAAATGGAGGTCAACGTCCCGATCATGGCTGGTAACCAGGTGTTCACTTACAGCGTATCTTTTCATAGAGATAAGGATTTTCGCTCGACGATAACGAACGAGCGCATTATCTGGCGCTACGCGAACTGCCTGATCAAATAATGAGTGCGCAGCCACCTTGTCACCCCGACGTTCGACAGCCTGAGAGGTCCAAGGCCACAACAAGGGTCGATTAGAGTCAGGAAAGTTGTATCAAACAAGCGACACACCATGCCCACACAACCTAGCAAAACTGCATTATTTGGATGAATTTCAACTGCCTTGCGATAGTGATACTCAGCAAGGCGTATTTTGCTCATCCGCAAATAGCAGGTACCAAGACCATACCTATGGCGAAGTCAATCAGCATGAGAAGCCACTTGACGTGTCACATAAACCTAACCAAGCATTGTAATGTCGCGGATCTGCGCGGAGGGCAGTCTGGAAAAATCCGATAGCTTTGTCCAGGTCTTCATCAATAGACTCATGTCCGCTAAGAGTGTACGCGTAAGCACAGGACGGATCCATTTCAGCAGCTCGTCGAAAACACGTAAGTGCCTGAGACCGCTCTTTCTGTAAGGAAAAGAGATTGCCAACTGCGATCCACGCCTGCGAAGAGCGTGGGTTTACGTTCATAAGTTCTTGTGCAAGATATGAAAGCTGCACGTTCTGCTGAAGGTGCCATAGAAGAGTCGAGTAAACCTCCATATCGCCCAACCGATAAGGCTCCAGAGCTCTAGCTGCCCTGAACGCTCGCTCTGCCTATAATAGAGAAATAACGTAAACGGAAAGAAGTACATAGCGGTGCCAATGATAATTACGTACTGACGCGTACTCGAGTCGTTCATAGTGGGCTCGGCCCACCATAGCCAATACCCACGATGATTGCTGGTGTGCAAGCGGTATCTGGTCGAGTTCCATGAGACAGGAGTAACAATCATATTTGGACAAAGCTCGAGTAGCACGTGCAAATCGCCGGAGCAGATCGTAGATATATTGGTCTGCCATCTCTGAGTCGTACGCTTCTTGAGCAGCAAGTTCATGCGCCGCAGTCCAATTGCTTGGCGCGGGCGATGTCTCAGAGGGAGGTGACTGAGCATTCGAAGTTGGCGAGGTCGAGGACGCGACCTCTCCATGCAAATTGGCATCATCCTCACCATCCGAGTCTATTGATCGCGATCGCGAGGTAGTCAACTGTCGGCGGCGATCTCGTGGAGGTGGATGCTTCAAGAAATAAGTCAGTAATTGATATCAGACCAAAACACAACCAGGTAAACAGGCTCGAAATTCACCCACTCACCTTGAGGGGCTTGCTAGTAGTGCCACTCAAGAGCCGCGTGCTTCGCCGCGGCGCAATAGCAGCACTCCCTCTCTCGTTCTTGGTAATTCCACCACTAGCAACTGGCCTGGATGATATGACGGGCTGAGAACGACGACCCGGTGATGAGAAGATATTAGCAAATTTTAGGGCCGGGCGTGCGCGTGCCTTTTTCGAGGTTTCGTCCACAGTCAGCTTGGACGGCTTGCATGCGACAGTCTCAGTGCTCTTTTGTCGAATCGTTGATCGAAGCCTCTTCTGCGCGGGACCAGTCTCATCCGCCGAAGATAGTGGTCGAGCGGCGGGCTGAGACGGGCCGGGCCCTACTGGCTCAAATTTAGAATTGCGGGGTGGAGGGTGAAGAAATGAGTTCTCCGTATGAAAGAATGGTTCGTTAGTAGCGCTAGAAATGATGCACAAGACCATGTCAGACATATTGCATCATGAGAGGGTCGTGGCCGCTTTACATGGAGTCGCGTGGATCTAGTGGAGGATCCATTCGGAAAGCTTGAGGGACGTTCTTGCGGCCACGAAATAGAGTGGTATTGGCAGTGATGTCAGGCGTAAAAAATCCAACTCCAGTAGCAATCGGGCCAGAGAGGGCCTTAGCTGGTGGGGGCTCTTCTGGCGGACCCTGTTTTACTGGGGCGGGACGCACCGGAAAGATCTCGTCTACATCAGGAGCCGTACCTAAAAGTGAAAGTCAACTAAGTTAGTTGTAGGATGTGACAATAAGCCCAAGTTGGTCACCGAGAGAGCACAAGCCCTCAAATGCTTCCCACAACATGGGGTTGAGTGCGAGAGCTTGTCGGAAACTACGAGTAGCCTGCTCAGGAAGATTGCCTTTCATTGCCATCGTTCCAGATCGACATCGCGTTGCAGCTTCCTCCGGAATGCGCGCGAGGTTCGAGAGCCCATAGAAGCTGCAGAGAAGGTCAGTGAGTGTACGGCAATATGAAATGGAATGCGCACCCGTCGGGGTATAGGCGGGATCCTGTAAACTAGCGTCAAAAGCTTCGTGTGCTAGCCTGTGCCGACCGAGAGCAGCACAACACTTTCCCTTGATCTCTAAGCATCCACTACATGTCGACTGTTGAACACCAGTGACTAATTGTAGCCCTGAATGTGGCTGACCGGATCGAAGAAGTGCTGTGGCATAAAGATGACGCGCATCGTGGTTGTTCTCGTCCATGACAAGGTAAAGTTCCGCATAGAAAGCTGCAGATCTGACGAGGTCGAAATCGAGACAAGTCCATACGAGGGTTTGGAAACGCTGTCTGATTTGCGGGAGAAATGCAGGCCTTGTAACGGCTTTCGAATCTTCAAGTGGCATTAGCACAGGCCTAGAGCATGAGAATATAAGTCAGGGAAAAATATGATTAAATCCAGTCCCCCGCAGACTAGCGTGTCTGTCCAAGGAGGCAGTGCTTGAAATTTGAGACGGCTTGATGCAGCGCGGTGATGAGAAGGTTAAGCAGTGCAACGCGAGTTCCCCATAAACAAACTGCGCGTGGAACAATCACGTGACAATCGCGTAGATGTTTACATGTATATCTCTGATCATTCTCAAAGACAATTGCACACATTCGATGTAAGTAAACATTATGGGCGTATGAATTACACGTAAGACTGTCAACACAAGGCTGTCTCTGTTTAATGGCCATGTGAATCTGCTTCCGGCTTCGGTTCTGTTAAGATCAGTGAGACAGACTTCTGGGTGGAGTGGCAATCGCTTACCCGGTACGCACTGGATAGCGTCATCGATCCGCAAAAGTGAAATGGCAGCCTCATACGCTGACTTCAAACTCCGGACTTTACTCATCGTTGGCTCCAGCACACCAGCCGCAACATTGTCACGGACATCTCCGCTCATAAGATCTAGGCCATACCGAAGTAGTACTTTTTTCGGATCACCCGCAGGCGCATTCTGCGCGGCGTGATGGTAAGCACGCAGTTTGGCGACAAGATCGGTGGAATCCTTCGCAGCGTTGACAGCAAGCTGCTTTGGGATTGAAAGCAAAGCTGCAGCGAATTCGGCGATCGCCAGCTGTTCTCGCGATCCCTAGTGTGTAATCATAAGATCATCGAGAGGAATGCCGATAGGTATGAAACTCACTAAAGTTGTCGCAAAGTTTTCCAAGTAGATGCTGAGGGCAGATTCAACCGCACCACCTCCAGGAACAACAGCTCCGCTCTCTAAAGTACGCTTAATGATGGAAAGCGTGTCATGCAACGCTCTCTCCATCTCATCAAGCATGTAATCATTCGCCCCACGCAGAACAATAGACGCAGAGTTGACCACCTTGGTGCCCTTGATGAGAATCAATTCGTCATCGGAGATGCGCTCCTGGACAACTTCGTCCGCTGAACCAAGGTAACTGGCCTCATATGTCTCCTCACCTTCCAAGTTCGCGAGACTTGAGATGAGCGTGCCACCTGTTGCCTTTGCGATGCGTCGAAGGTCCTCCTTTCTGCACCTTCTAACTGCCATCGCGCCAGCTTCGACAAACTCTTTTAGACACAAGTCGTCAATGCCCTTTGTGGTCAGAACAACGTTGGCTCCTGATGCCAAAATTTTGCGAATTCGTTCCAGCGTAATTTCTGCTTCACTGCAAAAGCGCATTCAAACGAAAATCAAATGAACAATTACTTTGAAAACTAACCGCTTCCTGATCTCCTCTAGCTGATTTGGATCTTCGACCAGTATCTGCACACCCAGCTGCATGCGGGCTTTTTGAAGATTTATGTCTAGACACGCAATTTTTGCATTTGTTACGCGTTTTTTCATCGCTAGAGATCCTAGTTCAGTGAATAATTCACGCGAGAAAAAGTGTGTGGACCTTGACTAGCAACCGTGCAGTTCAGTGCATAGCCTTGGACATACAGGGATTCTCTAGCACTTTTACCGTGAGCCTTGAGCACGTTGACAGCCTTGACCGGATATTTGATGTCACCGCGCAAGTTAATGGTCTTGACAGCAAGCATAGCATCCACAGCCATAGGGGCAAACAGATCATCGTCACTTCAAAGGGATTTAAGGGGACGGATTGCCAAAAGTTTCTAAACAACGTACTTTCCGATGATCTTGCTAGACATGCTAGTCTTGGCAGCATTCACAAGTGCATCACGACCGAGAGAATCAATTTTTATGCTAAGTTGATCCTGCATGAACTTGACAGCCTCTTTGCAAGCAAGTCGGTAGCCTGTGATGATCGTGGTCGGGTGTATTTTCGCTTTTACGAGCTCGTTCGCGCGTCGAAGGAGCTCAGATGCAATGATGACCACAGATGTTGTACCATCTCCGACTTCCTTGTCCTGCTTTTGCGCGAGATCGACGAAAATCTTTCCAGCTGGGTGTTCCACAGACAGAAGAGACAGGATAGTTGCACCATCATTTGAGATAGTCACTTCCTAATGAAAGTAAGAAAGAAAGGCTTGAACATGTAGCAAAAGATGCGCACTCCGATGTTGTCAACGAGCATTTTATCGAGCCCAAGTGGACCCAAAGAGCTTTTGACGATGTTTGCGATGGCCAAGGCCGCGGTCACTGATCCGATGCATCATTTGAGCCGAAGACTAACGACCACCGAGCCACGTACCATTCTGATCCCGTATATCTTGCCCTGACACGCGGTCACCACCGAGAAACGCGCCAGCTCGAGGATCACGTTGGAACATCTTGCGTATAGATGATCTAACTCAAGGACAGTCGCTGACATTTGTGTCGCTGCAGCCTGCTTACGCAAGATTGCCTCCTATGGTTCACGAGGTTCGGATTTCGCACAGCTCCAAGTGGAAGTGATTCGACCCACTTGCGAGTGTTAACTTGAATTACGTTTTAGCATTTGAAAAGTATCACAGACGAGCCTCCCCTGCAGTTCGAACGCTCATCAGCACCTTTGAGTCAGATGTGTTTCTGGTGACATGATTTTGCTGGGGAATAACTACCCCGACACTGGTGCGTGTTGGATAGAGAACCTTGGTCACACTCTTACCAGCAACCAGTCAAACACGTTTACTCCAGGCCTAATAACTTCTGCAATAACTTCATCTGCTGGTGTGAAGCCATGCGATAACATGTCCATAACGAGAAATAGTGTCAACAAATACGAATGGAAGATATCGAACAAAAAGTGAACAGAAAATTGTGGTTATATATCCACATGCTATCACAAGCTAACTGTCCATCAATAATCATGTCCAACAAAAACAGAATCAAAACTCACGTTGTACTTGACAGGTTGGGAGGTAAGGATGAATAAATGTTTAACATTTGACGATTGAATAATGCCAAGGGGTGAATCCTAGCGGATAAATACTGAGGAGGTAAAAGGAAACGGACCAGACCACAAAAGACATAAATAGCTATCGACAGTCTTAGATGCGAGACAAATAAAGAATCAAACTGAGAAGAAAGAGATGTTGAACATATATAAGAGATGCAGCGAAAATTCTGAGCAGCACAGAGCATGACGAGCGTTGAGATCAGTGTGCGGTAATATGGTGCCACAAATGGTTGTTTCTGGTTGGGCCATTGGAGAGAGAAGATTTGAACGAAACGAGGAAGCGCAATGGGGTTCCAAACGTGTGACAGGCGTGAGGGTGGAGAAAGATTCATCCTGATTAGGAAGAGATCAAGTTGATCGCGGAATTGCTGGACATGCAAAAAGCAGACGCGCTTTGAACGTGCAGGAAAATAGAGCAGTAATGGAGAGGTCGGGTTGAGATTAATAGGCAGCCATACGAGTCGCGTCAAAAGTTTCAGAGCGGGTCATACCGACGCGACCCAATCTTTTCGCCTTTGACAGTAGCATGGTACCTTTATTGGGAGGGGGGCAGGGGCTGTCGCCGATGTCGGTCTCCTCGTCGTCTGTCTGGGTGATGTTACCGACCTCGGTCACAGTCGAAAGACCATTACGGCGTGTACGAGCAGCGTTTGCGGCAGCAAATAATTGAGGAGCACCAGCAGGCGCTGTATTCCTCTTGGATGGCTGTTGGGTCATACCAGCGACTTTCGAAGCTAGGTCACCATAAGCGTACGACTTCGTGCGTCCAAATTTGCCCTTGCGAAACTGGTCTAAGTCTTCTTTGCGGGACAGTGCAAAGTTGGGGTCGTCCATCGTGACATAGCCCCGAGGACGACAGCGAGTAGCACACTGTTTATAATATTCGCAGTACCCGCCTTCCAAAATGTAAACCTCCGGATAGTGAATCCTTGGGTACACGTGGTTATTCATCGCGCGGTCTTTGGCACGGAGGTGTTTGGCGCTGAAGGGCATCGCAAAATTAACGTCAGGAAGGAAAATGGTGAGGCTTCGGCTTACAATGTTGGAGCTCTTTTTGCACTGAATTCACAATGGAAAACCAGAATAGTCTTTTTATGAGAGTCGCCACTAACAGATGGTTTAGGCTTCTGCACGCCAAGTAAGAATTCTTCCACGCCAGCAGTGGTGTTGATGTTGACGGCGCCAGGAACATGTCCACCGTTGTATTCATAGTCGAAGCGGCAGTCGATCACGTGGAAACTCGCGATGCGAGAATTGTAGGCACCGTCGAGAAGATCATCTAACTAATGAAAATGGAATGTCAAGTGTTGTCATCAAGGTCACAGATGAAGGCAATTACAGTTTTCGGTACAATCCTCATCAAGCCATCCTCGCGCACGCGGTGACATGGCAAGATTTTGCCCAGTGTCTCGTTGTCCCCAAATCCTGGCAATCCTGCAGCCATGAATTTCGCAGAGGGACTCTCAAACATATCACGCTGGACCATAGCAGTCGCGCCAGTCAGAGGTCTGAAATCCTCCGTTCCGTCGCGTCTACGGATAGCCTTGACCTGCTGTCGCTTGGCGTATGCCTGGGCAGGAGAGGACATGTCAGGGTCGTCGAAAGAAGAACCCTCGTCAGAGAAGTGTTCGAGGACAGTGGATGGTACCATAGAAAATGCGCGTCGTGAAGGAGGCAATTCGAGTGTCGACCGCCCCTCTGGCGAAGCATCTAAGTCAAGAGCGGGGTATGCGGATTGTGGCGAAGGAACACCGGATTGTACCAAAGCTGAGAAGACAATACGTCGGGCTCGTTTGCTTGCGTTAGGGGGGACTCCAAGGCCCTGGAGCGCAGGTTTAGCGAAGGTGGCCATGCGATCCAACTTGTGCTGCGAAGGTGATGAAGGAGCAGGCGACGACGAAGCTTCATTATCAACACGCGAAATAGTCTCCGGAGATAAAGAACGACGCTTTTTTGGCTGCGGCCCTCCAGGGGTGTCTAAGTAGGATTGGGTCATAACCCCATAAAACAGATTGTTAAACTCGGTCACAGCAGGTGCTGCAGAAAGAGGCGGAGAAGGCAGCAGGTCCTGCTCAGAAACCTCAGGAGCAGGATCCACGTCCATGGCGTCATCAGACCCTAAAGAAATAGATACATCCAGCGGCTACCCGTGCAGTCATATAAGCAACAAGCCTGCTGGTCTAAACTAAAAGAATCACTTACCGGAGCAAATATGTTTCCGTCCATCGTCTGAGAGGTTCTTAAAGGCTTAGAGGGGGCCATCCACTCCATAGGAAGCGCGCTGCGCTGGATCCGTTTGGAGTTCGCTTGGGAGCCAGTTTTTGTGTTGACGGAGTCGTTGGAGAAATTGCTGTTGCTCATGTCCTGACCGAAAATACGAGCGGCACTGGTGGATGCACGGGGGCGCGTGGTAGGCCTGTTCGTCTTCTCATTCTCCTTCTGAACGGGGCGGTACGCAGGCGAGATATCCATTGGGACATCGCGATCTTGCGCAAGCGTCGTTGTGTTACGTGGAGGAGAGTTGAGAGACATAGTAGAAGCGAACGACAGCTCAAGGTCAGAAGACAAGAAATCATCAATATCATCATGTTTAGCATTGAGCACCTGGCCGCGTTTGCGAGAGGAAGCAAGTGGCGCGTGTAGGTATTGCGTCGAAGCCGAAGCTGCAGCTGAAGAAAGGGCGGAGAAGAAGGTCATGTCGCGAGAGACAGTAGTAGAAGGTTGGAATTGAACTCTTTTTGGAAGTTTGTTCGAATGATAATCTGTGAGTCGTTTCAAGAATGAATCAGACATGGTTGATCAGAGGTGAGTGTGAGACAAGTCAAATAATCAAGCCAATAAACAGCGTTTGAACGCCAGACGGTGATCGTACGAAGTTAGAGGGCACAAGATATTACAGGGGACGAGTAGTGTCCAAGAAGAGAGGAAAATGAACGACATCCACAGTCCATAAATATTGATTGTAAGAAGAAAGACATACTGAAGTAAGACGTGGCCCAAACAAACGGATCGTGGCCAGTAGATTTACGGAAAGTAGTGGCTGTCAACGACAAAGTCAGCGATCTAATGTGGCTTAGAGTACGAAAAGAGATGAACAAAGAAAAACATCAATACAAAACGAGCAGCATCCACTCGGCCATAGAACTGAGTTTCGCATAAATGAATCATGGCTCACCTTGAACGTAAGGATAGTGTTAACGGAGGAGGCCGCGCCTAGGTAGTGCGTACAGAATAAGAGCGAGTTATCGTTGCTCAATGACTATACCAACAGCTTGGCTTCAGCCAGAATATTGCTCGCAATGCAATGGACTTGAACAGAACAGAAAACGTAAGCAAACTTTGATGCGAACAATCGTAGGTCCAACAAATTTGGATCCTGTCCTAAAACGGTCAGCGACGCGCTCAATTAAGCAGTATAACTAGGCAAGAAGCAAGAATATCGCGTGCTGGGGGTATGAGGTGTCCTGCCACCGTAGCTGATTCGGTCCTGCGCACTATTTCGCTCTAGTGGTGTGCGCTGATGAGAGGACTCGGCAAAAGGACAATTGTTTGCCCTCTCTTTGGCGTATGTTGATATTCGTCACGTGCGTTTTGTCTTTTGTTTCTTGATCAGGCTAGCTCTGAAACTTGAAATATATTAATTAATTGTAAAGGCGTCTACTCACCAATATTCAAATTTCAAAGACTAGATGTTCCTTTCTGTTTCACTAATAGAGACGGTCCTGATTTCTGTAAATTTACTTGGTCCCGGCTGCACATAAATGCATCAGCACTGAGCGCTAGCGCTCTAGCCTTCGACTGTATTACAGATTACAAATAATTTCAGAAAGGACGCACAGCCACTATGGTATGAACACATGTTGCATCTCCACACCATATGCTGATTCAGTAGCATCCAGTTCAGGATACACCCGCTCTACGATATCGACGATACCCTGACTTATGATAGTCATGTGGTCGGGACTGTCACAATCATGATATGGCCGATATGAAAGTCGGCTGCGTCCTTAGGTCACACCCACAGCCCCGGGTTCCTAATCCTCCCGCTCATCTCGCCACATGCACGAATACAATCTAATATGTCACAAATCAAAGAGAAGTTAACGATACGTTCACGTAGTCATTTGATATTCAGGACTAAAATTGCGCTTTCCGTTTCATCAGAGATGATCTTGGATTCTGTACATTCACTTGGTCCCAGCTGCATATAAATGCATCAGCGTCACGCAGCAAAAATAAGTCCAAAGAAGACGCACGGTACAAACACAGTTTGCATTTTTGCATGTGCTTCCCAAGTAGGGTCCAGTTCGGGATACACGCGCTCCACAATGTCCATGACAGCTTGGAAGACGATCTTTAATCTTAGAAGTCAGCAAGCCTGACAGGTCGGAATTCAAGTTTGCACGTACGTTGTAGCCATCACTGGTTAGATGTAGCCCATCGCTCAGGTATTTTTCGCATGCCTCTTCACTTTTACCAGCGGCATCGAATATCTTTGTCCAGACGTCTGCGACGGGCACATTCTCTTTCTCACCTACTTCCTTGACAGCTTCCGCGTACGACCTCGTAGTCTCGAATACACGTGGACTGTCAGGTCTGTCCCATTGCTTCGTATTTACTGGCGGTGGGGTGATCAAGATTATACGGGTCTCAGGGGAATAGTATGCTGAAGTTGGCGATTTCACCATTTGAATGATATGGCTTAAATTTGTTTTGTATCTGTCTATCGGGACGTGCTGTGGGCTGGGAGCAGGTGCAGCGTCATTGGCGCCATACCAAATTGTGAGTAGCTTGACCTGCGGAACGTGATGTTGCTCATGCTGTTTGGCAAAGATCTACAAATACATTCAGCACGATTTATAAAATGATAACATTGGATTTCACCTGCTCGCAAATTGGAATTGCCCAGTCCGTTTGATAACCCCCGAGGCCACGATTGATAACATCGAGCTTCCGAACGTACATTTCTATAGGTCGCAGCCTCAGATTCAAGTCCATACCAAATGTTTGTTATATGCATACCTGCAAGTAACTGTGCGAAGCCTCCTTTGTCCCATCCCTGTTGAGTAAGGGAGTCACCGACGAGCATGACAACATCTTGTATATTGGCGGCCATATCTATCTAGATCTATCTTCGCCTTTCGAGGTCACCGACCGATCAGTATTTGATAGATATCCAAAGACAGTAGACATTTACCTGTGTCGCCCACCCAATCGCTCTATTCAATGGTTTGAAATGAAGGGGTATCAGACTGTATCATGATGATCTTATAAACACCTTTGGCTTATCATGTATGCTACGGCATTCCGCATTGGGAGTCATGTGGTTTAAACCGTTTATGCCAAACTTAGTATGAAAACCAGGATCAGCTTCAATTCTCAAATCACCCCATAGCCAGTTCAACTGTAGGTCTTATGACCCAGCCTATATTGCTTCGTGTCTCAAATTTTAAAGCCTACGTGTGGGATGTTGACGGCAGGTCATTATCGTAATCTGACATTCACACTTATAATCTCGCACGAGCAGATATTAACATCCTACGATCACATCATCGTATATGTGGTATCCTCACCGGGACTCTTCCACACCTGTCCTCGCAGAATATATTTTTGGGATTACCTCTTCAACTGATGCCGGAGGAGGCTGTTCTCCTCGTCGAAAATGGTCAGTCATCTTTAAATTTATGCACCCTATTCACTCGCGACAATCGTGTGTCCAGGAATTGCCGTGTTAGTGGACGATCCCAGCGCCCATTACGCCCCGTCTCCGTCAACTCTGAAACTATGGAAAGAAGCGCGCCTCAACGATGCAAGGCAACAAATAGCTCTGACGGAAGAGAAAGGGTCCATCGAAGCTTCTAACCCTGACCGTGCCATGTCTGAAAATGCCAAGCGCAAGCGCAAAGAACGAGAAGAGCGTCGCGCACGTGCGAAGATCAATGCCGCTCCCAGCGTTCCTGTGGAAGATAGTCCATCTCCTCATCCCACATCTGAAAATCCATCACAGGCTGCCATCGGAGAACCCCTGGATAGCACTATCGTGATGCCCTCAGGATCTTACACCGTCAACATTCCTGCATCATCATCCAAGTTGGAATGGTACGCGCCACACTCCAACGTGTCCTTAACTATCGCACGCGAAGCCGGCATATGGCTCTATCCCTCGACCCTACAAGAGCGCGCACGCTGCGGCGTCTTTCGCGACTTGTGGGAGAAAGGGTACTACATGGGAGGGGGGATTAAATTTGGTGGCGAGTACCTGGTTTACCCTGGTATGTTCCTTTCTATTTGAAGATCTTCCCGCTCCGCCACCCACGCCTGTCCTCGAGCGTGTATATCTGAAATACGTGCTGACCTGCGCGATTTGTCTTATCAGGTGACCCCCTCCGTTATCATTCTCATTTTGTCGCATCGGTCATCGAGGCTCCGGATGCCCCCCTGCGCCCAATGGAAATTGTTGCTCATGGCCGTCTTGGCACCGGGACAAAGAAGGCGCATTTGTTGTGTGAATGGAATGATGAAACACGAGTTGTATCATATTTTTCTGTCGAATGGGCAGGATTTGGCTGAAAACTGAATGGCATATAGAAGCAACTGTGCCTCATCTCAAAACTTCAGAATCATGTTCCTTTCATCCCAGCCATTGTCCACTGATTTCATCATTATTGTCAAATGGGTATAGATTCTATTGAAATATAGGATCGTGAAAGTTGCGTACGATATGAGCTATTGACATATGAGTCGAAGTTGCCTGTAAGATCATGACCATGGCGCCATAAAATCCGTCAATCCTTCTTTCGCCTCCCAGAGATAGGCGCCTTTCCATTACTCGGTAGTCTGTCTCCGAGGCTCCTTGCTTGAACAGCGGGGGGAGGCCCTCTCACTGTACGACTGATGTTCCTTAATTCGATACCTGTCCCTTCTTCTGCCTGTTCGGTAGTGTCACTTGTCGTTCTCCGGTGTCGAACACCGGCGCTGCCACCCACACTCAGCACTCTGACGATGAGATCATTCAGCCAAATGACGATTGTAAAGACCGGCATCCTAATGGGAACAAGGGGCGAGGGAAACCGCACGGTGTTTGTAGACTCCGTAGAGGGTGCAGGATTGTAAGGATCCTGCGGAACGGGCCGTGCATGCATGGCCATGATGATGAACTGAATATCGATAAAAATCAGTAACAGAACTATAGGAAGAAAGGAATCCATATTATGAGACATACGGCAGGGAACATGAGTGCGAAAAATGCAGCATTCGCCAGTCCACTTCCGCACGTGCAGATCACAGCGGATGGAAAACCAAATGCGAAGTAGTATGCCCATCGTTCTTCTAGATAACGCACTCTTTGGGCCAAGGACGAATTACGCGCCACCCAGACAAACCTGAGGTGCTCGTATTTCAGTGAGAGCGGCCACCTTTGTGCCATGGCAACTTACTCAAAGCAATAATATCTAAAGGAAAGTTAGAAGTGCCTCTTATCATCCAGCAGCTGATACACTGACGCATTAACCCAGCACATGAATGCAAAACTAATCCACGATCCAACAAATGGTATTGATCCCAAAGCCAACGACACGATGACAGAAGTAAGAATCATTACAGCACGGTATGCAGACGTCGCGAGCATGGTCAGCATACCGTGATAAGTAACTGGCTGCTGATGTGCTGCACGGTTTCCGTGCTGAAGAACAAAGGACCGTTTCGCGATAAGATTGCACCAGGAACTCTGAATGGAAGAAGTTGGTAAAATGATTGTGGTTCATTTCTGGCTGAAGTAAGTGCCTAAGATCAGGTTATGGACTTACATTAAGATAGTAAGATACTCCGACAACTGGGAACAGCCAAAGGACGCGATAAAACCATCCAACATTGCGGTGAAGCCAGCTTGGGTGGTTATGCACGAGAGGTTGTAGAAGCAAGTCGAACGCGTAGATAGAGGTCAAGGACAACGAATTGAGTAGTAAGGACTTGAGAATATTTGAACGAATTTCACGATCGCTGTGAGGTTTCCAAGGAATTGTGTGTAGGATGGCAAAATACAGAGACAATAAGTGAATGGAAGGTACCTTGTAGCAGTCTTCACAACAACATCCCACCGAAAGGCTTCAAGGATACCCCTGGATGCCCATGTCAATTGCAGCTTGATCGTTTCCTGTAAAGAGAGAAATGTAGGATAAGCTGAGCGTGATAGCTGATGCTGGTGCGAGTAAGAATACGGCGATTGCATGCTACTTGACTGTCTGGACATGTCCCTCCTCGAAGTCGCGCTGTGACTGCTTGTGGCAAGCGTGAATCAACCAATTTGGTAACAAGAGTCGGAGTCTTTACTGGTTCGGTCATGTATACATACATCACATTAATGCGGATGCTCTCTTCCACGTCGCACCCCTAGATCTGTACCACGACCCTAATTTTTCGAATCTGAGTAGCTTACTGTGGAACGTTGCAATAGGTTCAAATCAAAAGATAATCACGACAACAGGCCCACACGAAAATTGATGATTTGGTAATCGAGAGGCGGGCAGGTAGTAGGACCCAATAAATTACAATACAAATCAAATACGAGAAATAAGAAATGTGCAATCAGAGGCGCGAGGAAAAGTGCATGGAGTAGGTAGCGTAGCCATAGACTAGGTTCTACACCTTAGTGTACCGTGAGATCAGGAGAACAAGTATATCATCGATGGCGGATGGGGAGTCACCTATTTCTTGGCGGTCTGGATAATAAGTAAGTCAAGCCACGACAATCACAGCACATTTGAGTTAGGTGCATACCTTCTTCTTGCTCGTTGTCGAGGCCGTTGCTTTGACTGCGGGTTTCCTTACATTGGTCTTCTTAGTGGCTGCAGTCTTTGCTTTAGCAGGCGCGCTCGTTCCGGTCACAGCCTAGAAACATTGAAAGTGAGCGGCTCACGAAATGCGCAAAATACTAGTGATCCGACCTTCTTCACGGTGCCACGCTTAGATGCTGAGGTAACCTTCTTGACAGGGGTAGGTTTCTTGCCTGCCATCGTCTTTTTTGCAGGAACTGCCTTTGCCTTGGTGGAAGTTGCTGATTTCGTCGCTGAAGACTTGGTAGCAGTTTGAGTGGCGGGTTTCTTAGCGGCGGCGGCCTTGACAGTTGGTGCGGCCTTCGCTTTCACAGCTGGCTTCTTGGCCGTACTAGACTTTGCGGTGGTAGCCTTCGTAGTGGCAGTCTTGGCGGGACGTGCCTTAGGGGCTGCCTTAGTAACCGCCTTGGGTGCAGCCTTCGCGGGCTTGTTCTACTCTCACTACATCAATCACCATATCACGTGTTCGAGTCAGTAGGTGCACGGACCTCCTTGGATGCTGAAGTATCAGTGGCCCTTGAGGTCTTTGGAGGCAATTTCACCCGACCAGAAGGTCCTATGCAGTAGTCATCAGCACGGGACTATGAAAGACCTACGTAATAATTTTCTTACCCTTGGGGAGGACAAAAGTGCCCTTGTCGGCGCCAGTGGCGATGGCCTTGCTCAAATGATTCAGTTGAGCGTTGTCCATGGTGAGGTTGTATTTTTCCTCAACAAATCTATGAGATTATAAGCATCCCTCGGTCTAGTAGGAATAGCCAAACACACTTCTTGATCTGGGGACGGGAGACGCCAGCGCGAGCGTCATCAGGATTGGCAGTAATGCACTCCTATTTAGTAATGTATCATGTTAGAAAAGTTGTTCTATGCCTTCTAGCATCCTACACGATGTAAAAATGTATGACTCAAGGTCCCTGAAGTGATCAGGAGAGAAAAGATGTATGTCACCCGCAGTTGCATATCCTCCCCCTGGGACCTGCCTTTTATAGTACCCCCTGGGTGCAGATGCCTCACCCTTTCTGTGGTGCTCGACATCGGACGAAGGAGAGGTATAGGAAGGAATCAAACACGCTAGAATATTGACTGACTGACCTTGATCATATCTACCCAAGATGGGTGGGTGGGAGAGGCCCTGCTCTTCTTAGCAGCCGATTTCGTAGTGGATTTCCTTGCAGACATATTGCGAGCGATTGCAGTAAGTGCTGTAAGTGTTATTCTTGCTGTTTGTGCTAATTGCAATGCTCAGAAGGGACCAGAGTAACCGGCGGAAACAAATGGATTGGAGATGGTAGTGGTTTGAGAGAGGGATGTGTTGAAACTCCGAGGGCGCGTTGAGCAGTCAACAAACTCAATTCGCGCGAGTCACGTGAGTCAATATTTGAGATAGGTTTATCGACCCTATTTACTCTGCATGGAGGGTCCTGCTAGGTCGCCATTTTGCCTGGTGAGTGAATTTGGGTACGGTAGGGGATCTGTCTTTGAAAAAAGCAGAAAATACAACACACAAGCGTTCAGTACATATTGATCCTTGAAAATGGCAGTTATACTCAAGAGACTGCACATATATTCACTTCGTACGCGCTGGAGCACGCGCATTCAACTGCTGCTTTCTGCAGGACCTCAATTTTTCATTTATTGGGCGGTTGGACGATTTATGGGGTAGGGAGGAAGAAGACATGTTTCTTCGTATGAGCCAGAACGCGACGCGTCCAAAAAAGGTGCGCGTCTTACGCCCTAATCGCTGCTCGGTCCCCTTTTGGAATGTGTGTTGATCGACGTCGGAACTTGCCGGTAGGTTAAAAGTATCGGGTAGGCTTGCGATACTAGCATCCAACCAAATGTCTGTTACGCCAGCCCTCAGAGCAGCTGCGCGCTCGGCATACCGTGACCTACTACGAGCTTCAGCTTCTACTTTTTATGGTAAGTAATTCTGTACCTCCCTCTACGAACTATCTTACCTTGATTTGTAGGAGACGAGCCCGTACAAAGAGGTTTGTACACACTCAATGGCAATGACTCCCCAACTTAGGAATTCAATTCAGCATTCCGACACAACATGCGAACAGAAGCATTGTATTTGGACAGCTCCGCACAATATGACGTGAAACTGGTCGAAGAGAAAATACAACTTGCCTGTGAGCTTGCGACCATGCTACGCAGAAATGTTGTGCAAGCTCGCAGAACACAAACCCAAGATGGAGATGATGCTTGGAGTATGTAATCGATTGGACCCATCTTGAGTCACTAAATCGTGTTTTAGACCTTCGGTTCACGAAGGACACTGAACTTGGTGAAAACGAGAGTATTAAGAATCCACCTCCCATGCCTTCCAACAGACAAGCACGGAGATTAGAGAAGGGCGGGCAAAGGTTTATCTTATCATCAAAAAGTATGCAGTGGGTCACTAAGCTAACTTATAGTGTAGAACCTGTTGCTCAGCCTAGCCCCAATTTGCCGCGCAATTTTTCCGCTCTCAGGAGGGCTCACAAAGATCGGGAGATTCCGGAGTTGCGTGAAGAGGATATCGAGGAATCATTCGTTAGAGGTGGGTGTGAAATCAACCGCGAACTGTTTTGGGTTAATTGGGGGTATTTACTGATCTATGATCAAGGCAGTGGTCCTGGCGGACAGTCTATCAATAAGACTCAGAATAATGTTCAACTTCTTCATAAACCCACTGGTTTTCGTGTAGCATGTCAGGAAACTCGATCACTCCAAACAAATCGCATGCTCGCCAGACGGTGGCTCCTGCAAAAGGCGTGTGTCTCTAAACATCTTGTTACGCCTACATAGATAGGCTAACTAACTCAAATTATTCCTATCAAACACCGGCACCTCCAATTAAACTCATTTAGCTAGATAAACTATACAACCCTGGTCTATCAAAGGGTGAACTACAACGCGCGAAGCAACAGGAAAGAGAACGCCAACGACGGAAGAAGTCGAAGAAGAAGGCGAGCGCACGAGTGCAAGAAAAGGATTGCCTGGAAAGTGATGAACCCTAGGGCTAGGGTGCGCCATACATATGATGAGGTGACTACTGTTAGATCTGTCCAAGCACTCCCTAGTACTAGGACCTGGAGTTTTAGCAGTTACATAGAGTGTTGTCACAACCACCAGCTAACAGGACACCAAGAAAATACTGCACCACTGTTGCGACTGATCATCGGTCACGGTACTATTTGCTGCGACGTTTTAGATGTTACAACTACTAAGTATGTCGCAGCACCTTGTCGCGGTCGTCGCGGGCACAATGTCGCAATATGATAAGCTCACAATGACCACGATAGATACGATGCACATATGTCAGTCAACTTGAGATGTTGGTACCTTTTCGATGTCACCATCTCAAGCTGATCTTTTGTTATCGATGGCTTGAGTGATTTGTGTCGTCCCGGGACCCGCGTCACTATTAATGTCATTCAGTGTTCCCTTCATCCTCGAAATTATCCGCCGATAATCACTCGTCAGGACCTCAGGCCTCGGCCCAGAAAGCGAAAAAATGTGGCACTGACCGTCTTGAGATGTTGCCCGCGACTGCACACTCGTTTGAAAAAAAAAATGAAAAAAACATTGTATGGGGAGAAATCAGACTATACAATTCAACATGGAAGACTGTTTAGCGACAAGGAAGTGCCACAGTCGAACGAAACATAGGAGACCTGACTTTGCAGCAGAACTACTGCAGGTGCTACTTGTGTGAATTTTGGTGATATAAGTGTGAATGTAAATATGAACAAGGAATCGATGTACTCTCGTATGCTGCTGAATCTGCTGTCGACTCCATGGCTCGTTTGGAGCACTTGAAGAACTGAGAGGTTCCAACCAGCGTGTGCAGTTTTGGTGCGCAAGTCACTAAATGCGGCGGCGCTGCGGAATAGTCCGGTGAGGGGAGGTGTGAACAGTCCTCTCAGCAACCTGAGCTCTCAGTATACCTCTCACCATATTACGCATATTACCTATCTGCAAGGCTATAGTTGGCCTCCCGAAGACTTTCTTGTATCTGGAACTTACTAGTGTCGAGGGAATTTAATCTTTGTCGATATGTCATCTTCTGCTCAAGGGCTTTACTCACTGGCCACTCTCATCAAACGGTGTGCATCATTAATATGTAGAAGCCAGTTCTACGGGCGCTGACATCAATGGGTGATTAGGCTCGAAGCAATCACGTCGCGTCTCGAGGACGTAGAAGATTCCAGGAGTGCAGGACATCTCAAACGACAGAGTACCAGCACTGTTACTAGCGCAGCGGTTGCTGAAACTCTATCGGCTTCGGCATCCCCGCCGCCACCACCTGCGATTGAGGCGCCAGTAGCAGTGCCACGGGCAGTCACCGCATACGATGAGATTGTTGTAGAGGGGAAGCTCAAACCCTTTCTGGAGATCAATCAAGCCATCGCGCCTCCTCCACTAAATGAGCAGGTCAATACTTCCGCGATTTTTGTTACACTTCACACTAAAGATATGATCTCTCAGGTTGTTCTATTTGCCAAAGTACTTGCTACCCTGCGGTCTGTACTTCACCAGGCGGCAACATGCAGAAAGCCCGACCAGAAGGCATTAGCCGAAATCCTTTCGCCACTCCAAGCAAGCATTGAAGCCGTGACTCGTGCTAAAGAGGCTGCTAGAAAGGAGCGGGACTGGTTCAATCACTTCACTGTCATCGCAGATGGAACTGCTTTTGTCGGATGGGTCACTGTGGTATGATCTTGACGGGTCAACATACCTTTTGAATGACAACGGCCTGCAGGAACCCAAACCGGGACCATATGTGAATGAGATCAAGGAAAGTACCATGTACTATGCGAACAGGATACTCAAGGATTTCAAAGAGAAGTACGACCGACATCTCATTGGAATGGTCTGAGTTGACGTCCATTCTAGGGACCCAAGGCACGCGGAGTGGGTTCGCGCATTCAATGGGGTCCTTGATGGAATGAAGCGCTATGTTGTCGAATTTCACACCACTGGTCTTGTTTGGAACGCCAGCGTGAGTATCTATTTGTTATTGAATTACAAACATCATAGACCACTTCCTGCAGGGTATCCCGGTTTCAGAGTACAAATCGTCCCGTTCACAGCCAGTCAGTGGTCCGCCGCCGCCGCCGCCACTTCCACTTCCACCTCACGCAGGATCAACATCCCCCCCGACAGCATCTGCTGGTGGGGTTGCTGCTGTATTTGCGGACTTGAATCGCGGCGCGGACGTAACAAAGGGGCTACGTAAAGTCGACAAAAGCGAGATGACACACAAGAATCCTGCCCTGCGGGCTGGAAACGTCGTCCCTGCAAGTAGCGGGGCGGGCGAGTTATCTTGCGCTTCTTACATCAATTTTTTCTTATTGTGCGAATAGGTGCTAAGAAACCCGTTAAACCAACCAAACCCCAGGCTTTGATGGGAAAGAAGCCTGCCAAATTCGCATTGGAGGGCAATAAATGGATCATTGTAAGCATCTCGTTTCAAATGAGGTAACTCATCTGATGGGTTATGCAGGAATATCAAGAAAATGAATCCGCTTTGGAGGTCGCCAATGCAGATATTACCCAAGTGATCAACCTCTTTGCTTGCAAGAACACGACTGTCATTATCAAGGGGAAGGTCAACGCCGTCACCTTAGGTCAGTGTCTGCTGGTTTGGTCCAACAGTATTTTTACTCAAAAGTCTATGACAGTTAATTGCACGAAGACCTCCGTACTAGTCGAATCTGTGGTTTCTTCTGTCTCTATCACGAAGTCTCCATCGTTTGCCCTGCAAATTACAGGGGTGGCACCTACTATCCAGATTGACTCGACAGACTCGGGGCAGATTTACCTCTCGAAGCAGTGTCTTGGTGTAGAGATTACTACAGCGAAATGCAGTGCAGTCAATGTCAGCTTACCAGTCGAAGGAGAGGAAGATGGTGTTTTTGAAGAGCAGGCCGTGCCCGAGATGTTGAAAACAGTGGTACAGAATGGCAAATTGGTCACAACGATTGTGGAACACGCCGGCTAACATACATCATATCTCTACCTACTAGTTAGTTGTGTGCAATTGCAATTAATTTTTGACAAGTTTCCGAGACTATTTAATATACGGGTTCACAGAAGTTGACACTAAAGAGACTAGTAGAGTAAGTACTAGGTATCCAGTAGTACTGCCATGACGTTAGCCTGGCACTGCCATGTCACGGTGTGTTCAAATCCATACGTCCAGGATTGATACAATCACCCGCCACCAAACGACCTGACCCTCGCGTAGCATGGACACCGTTGGCTGGCATGCTCAGCGCAGAGCCCGTAAGGTGAGTAAATAGTTCATGCCCTAGAAGCGATTTACATAAAAATTTGGCGCTACACAGCAAGCGCATCATTTTTCTGAGATTCAGAGAGGGCCAGACGGGAGATATCTACCTGTAGAAGAGATTGATCCACTTCCTGATGGGAGCGGGCGTGCTCAGGCTGGTAGCTTTGGCATACCACGCTCGTCATCCCCGACTCCTGGTGCACTGCCTGTCCCCCCCAAATATTTCACCGACAAGCCTGTCCAAAATGCTTCTGCTAGTCATTCTATTGAGCAGTTGGCGTCTGGTAGCTCTGGCGTCTCCTTGGCCCACATGCCTGCAGTAGAACGCTCTAGAGCACAGAGGCTTCCCAGAATGGAACCCCACCTTCAGTTGATGGTCGGGCCCCTTTTGCGATACGACACAGTTGACGAAAATGGTCTTTGGCGAGGTGCAGCTCTTGTCGTCAGTAAGTTTTCACTTGCGCCTGTGACAGGTCAATCAAGCATTTTAACTACATCATTTTTAGCCGCAGATTCAGGATCATTCTATGAACCATTTCCAGTCTTAACGTATCAGTGGGACCCTGAGGAGATTGCCCGACCTTCTCCGAGCATGCAGGGTTCTTATCCGGGTCATGACCTTGGCCCACACCCCGCGGATCCTCACGCTACTGCAATGGCTGGTCCAACAGCTCAGTTACCTGACATAAACGAGGCATACTTCGGTGACTACAAGGGAAAAGGAAACACGAGGGATGATCAGACTCAGCATGTGACCGGTCAGGAGATTTACGTCTATTCAGGGAATGGCGGGTGAGTGCAACCGACCAATACAGTAGTAAGGGATCTTTGAACCCAGACATATATATATCAGCACCTTTACGTTTTGGCGTTTCCCAATCCAGATACAACTGGGTCTCAATGAAATCTGCATCAAGTATCGCATCAATGGTGGCATGCAATTGGCCTTCTTCGTGCCTGCCCGTCATCAAAACATGCGGTGGGCAGCCCACTCGGTAGTGTTAACACAACCTGTTCGCTGCATATTTTCTTATGTCTTCTTAGTGTAATGGTTTCAGCGCCGGTGTGAATCCGGACGACTTCAGAGGACCAGGGTTCAAGAGTGGTTATGACCCTATGTGGACTGATCTCTTGCGGAAGCATGTCGAACGACCATTTCACGTCCTCGTGGGAGGAGGCGATCAGCTATACTGCGATTCGTATGCGTCTATGCACTTCTGCCATCCTAAATAGTCACACTTCTCTGCTAGGTTGACTCGAGAGCCCGAAATACAAGAGTGGATTTTAGCAAAGCCTTCCACGAAGAAAAATTTCCCTTTGACTGGTGAAATTGTCTCATGCGTTGATCGTTTTTTCTTCAATCACTACTGCAGCTCCTTCAGGATGGGGGCGTTTGCGAGGGCGAACAGCTCGATGTGCGTAAGCCAGATAATCATATATATCTCCTGTTACTCACTATCAATTCCTCCTGTCCTTGAAGTCCAATGTTGAATATGTGTGGTAAGATATGCGAATTTGATATCAATGATAACATACTCATGTGGCATCTGCAGATGACCATGGTAAGCCAGTGATGTATGCAACGGTCACTTTTTGACCAATGCACATTATAGATTTGGTGCGTACTATTACGCTCTATTTCCTTGTCACTGATCAATCTCGCGCGTTTCAAGATCGACGGGTTCGGGAGTTGTACGTGACTTAAAGCCTGTTAATCGATCCTTGATCATGACCCTGTTGTCCTACAGATCCTGAAGAGCTTCAACACTCTCCCGTGTTCAAGCAGTGAGTAACTTTCCTATATCGGAAGAATCACTCGTTCATGTCATCTTTAGTATCGGAGTGCGAGGCTACTTTTTCTATTTGCTTTTTCAATGCTTTATCAATCGTGCGTCGCGGATCGGAATAGATCTCTCATAGACTGACCTCATCGTCGTAGCTCTGCATGATAACTTGGATGATAGAGCAGGGAAGCACATGTTCAAGTCACTTATTTTGGGGGCTCAAGGTCCCTATGTTGGTTTACCATCACATTCATTTTTGTCTTACCTGGGGCCCGATGTACACATTCTGATGCTGGACTGCCGGTAAGTGATTACTACATCACACTGTCTGGAGGCATATATGCTAATGCATGACCGCCACAAGCGCGGAGAGAAAAAGGAGCCAGGTCTGCAGCGAGTTCGAGTACCAAAAGGCTTTCGAACGAATCAGGTATCTACCTTCGGACGTAAAACATCTCGTTGTGCAACTTGGTGCGGCCTTCAATGAGATCACAGCATCACTTTTGTTTCATATTGATCCACAGGCATCCCTATTGCGTATCCGCGAATGGTTTTCCTGGAAGCTGCACTAGACTCCAAGTTGAATCCTTTGATTGCCCTTGGACGCAGCGGAACCGCAGCATTCAGTAGTTTTGTGAATAAATTCAACGCGGACGCTGAGTTGCTGGATGATTTGGTATGCCATTTTCTCACGACGTGGTGATATTGATGTAGCTGATAGTCTGGGCAGAATGACCACTGGACCGCGAAGTGTCACAAGGTTCGAAAACAATGTCATGTGTAGCTCCAACTTAACAAAGATATGCCTTCCAGAAAGAGCGCAACTGGTTCATTCAGCAGATGCAAGGAATAGCAAGGATGAAAAGTTTGCGTATTTCGTTTCTTTCTGGCGACGTACACTGCGCAGCTGTAGGGGTTCTTAAGACGTTGGTCCGCAGTAACGGAGGAAAGAACAGCCGGACGATAGATGTTCCGCCTGAAACCGATTATAGATACATGATCAACGTGGTGACAAGTATGTTCTGTCTGCTCCCTCTTAAACTCCGAGATTCAATCCTGTTTCAGGTGCAATCGTCAACACACCGTAAGTGATGCTGCCATCTATTGTATGTGATGAAGCGTGTTGAGCCAATTGAAGGCCTCCAAATGGAGTGATCGCTATGGTATCTACTTTGGCGACTAAGACTCACAGAACGCTGCATCATGCGGAAACTGATGAAGCCATGGTGTGTCTCGAATCCTAGAAACGATTTGCAGCAATTTCACGGGATAATTCCTGTAGCTTCCTATTTTTACGAAGGAGCCAAATGGCAACCATCGCCTCCAAAACAAGTATATAATGGGACGACGGAATTGGTGTGCGGTCTCGTGCGATCCTGAGACACAGGAGTTGGAGTTCGACATCCGTGTCGAGATGGAGAAAGGGGTCGGCGTCAGCTTTGGGTAAGGCTTCGTACAATCTGTTCTGGTGTGTATTGGAAATATTCACCATGGCAATACCCTAGATATCCAGTCCGAAGTCCTCCCCCCAAGTGGTTTCCTGGAACGTGACACTTGTGTTTTTATGACCCCGTCTTGTACTGATTGTTTCTTACCTGGACTGTATCATTAATTTATAATTTCCTCGATCTGTTTTATTTTTATGTAATGGAGTGGAAATTGGCGGGGAATGACAAACACTGCATCGGATGTACTTACTACTCCTCCTGCCGGTGACATATCAAGACTAGCTGCAATTCCTAATTTATCCATACAAAGCCACTGAAACACGGATTGGCCGACGCGCCGCCGCAGATGGTGCATGATGCCGCGCTCCTTGTCACGCCAGGTCCGAGTCGTGCTCAGGAAAGCAACATATATCAACTTTACGCCAGCCGCGGGTCCATCTTCTGCGACGCTTCAGTAGCACGCCTCTGCGCCTCCAACTCGTGGCACATCCATCAAGTTCACCCAGTGAAAGATATCCTCTAACAAGACTGGGTAGAAACAATTCAAGCATGAGCGAGACGGACGTTAACCTTGTTCTCGACCGTGCAAGGGAACGGCATAAGGGCAAAAAGAAAAATCTCGGTGACGATGAGGATGAGGACGATAAACGCAGTGTGTCAAATTCCTTTACCACCCCATGTTGGTTTTTAGCGTCTCATTATAATACATATCAAAGTATCACCACCATTCTCGCTATCACGAGAAGGCAACTCACCTATTCAAATCAGACCTCTTGTCTCAACTTCAGCTGCCTCGTTCTATTCTGTCCCAGACTATCCATTAAAATCATTTGGGTCTGAGGGTGAAGAGCAGACAATGCCGCCCTCTTCCAGTCATGAAACACCACCGCTGACCAGTTCCGCCTCTCAGGATGGTCATGAGGTAGAGACACGCGAAGCAGATGTTACTCCCGTGCGAGTGGATGAGGATAGTTTCACTCATCTGAACTACACCGCGATGAAGATTCCAAGACCTCCCGGAGCGTGGACTGCTACGCCTGTCCTACTCAAACACGATCTGAGGGTGACATCGCCACCTCCAGTCTCCTCTGGATTGATTTTGACCCCATCATCAACATTATGGACGTCTCTGTCTCGAGCTAACTCTGGACTCGAGCGACGCTCAAAGCTTGAGGCCCCGGCAGGTAATGGCCTCTTCACGCCAGTACATCCTGCGCCGCGTACTGAAACTCTTCATGTGCGCACCCCAGCACCCCAAGGCGCGACCACAACTCAGATTTGGTCTAACGGGCAATCCAAGTCTGGTTCTATCAGAACAAAAAAGAAAATTCTCAAAGTGCGCTTTGATGTAACGGATTCAGAGGCGTCAACTGTTGAAGTTGAACAGCAAGTACCACCTGTAACCGACATGCGCATACCTGCGCCCGACTCTCTACCCAATGGTCATGCATCACGGTCGTGGAACATCCTCCAAACAAGAATTGACCGTTCTTCTCAAGGTGATTCCGTAGACGATTCGGTGTTAGCTAGGTTTGTAACTCCTGGACGCCACATGATACCCGCTTCTCGTACCAACGCACCATCGTCACGTCCACATAGAAGAGCCTTCAGCGTGAAACTTGTGGATGCATTCGGTCGAGAAAGGATTGACGAACTTCCTATACCGATTGCGAACGGGCGTGCAGACGCGGAAGACGTAATCCGTGCATTGCCATCAGCTAAAACTCGTACTCCTCGTGTCTCAAGCAAAAATAAAATTTGCATTATCGATGCAACGGGGGAAAAAGTTCAGAAAGATGTCCCTGAACGCTCATCAGTCCTACATCGTGATCCACCTATTTGTCGCACTACGGCCCTAGCTCAAATACGGCAAACGCTCCAAGAATGGGCTAGTGGGCTGAGTGATGAAGATAGGTGATATTGTAAGCGTGAGGCTTCGCAAACAAAGGCTGATTGATAGGAACTGTAGACCTCCTGATAATCTCGCATTGAGGCCGAGCTACTCAAAAGAACTCGAAGAACGTTCAAGGGCAGCGCGGCGTTCTCGGAATCAATTGGCTCGGACCCTTCGTATCGAATCGGTAAAAGAGTGTGAGCGTGACTTGATGCACAAATATACCAAGGGAGCCGAAGACCGAAGCGGGCTTTTGGTAAGACAAAGACATTTGATATGATCCCATCTTATCATTCTCGCAACTAGCCGACTATCACTGGTGAAAATAGTTCTTTCCATCGCCGTGATCTGGTTTGGGTGGGAGTTCTGTTACAGATCGTATTCGTCCTTGCCATGTGGTGGTGGGTTTCTCCATTTCATATGGAAGTTTCCTCACTGATCTGAGGAATGTCTGCATAGGTTTGCACACATTCAAGCTGGCCATCTCTTTTGTGCCACCTATTATGATCCTCTATATCCAGGCTTGACCCCTCGCATCGGTGGACGTACTTGGGAGAGGTGGGCTGAACGACCTAATGCAGAGACATGGCCACCTACATGATTGTGTCGTCAACGTCACCTAAACTACCTCGTAATGCTTGCAGCTCTGGGAGTACTTTCCCACTCTGGACATCAGAGCGGATTGCATTTGCGCCATGCAACACAATCTATTTGTGGAAAAAGGGTTGGTTTGAAATCTGCGAGTTCGTAGCATTGCCGCTGGTTCGTTGAAATCTAATTTGTGAACTACTTTGCCAGCCACTGCTCCCATATCCCGCTTGGTTTCATCCTAATCGCAACGTGAACAGTTGGATTGTCTTGAAAAATTATATATGCGACAACCCGCCAAGGTTCCACACCCTCTAACGTCCAATTCAAAATATATTGCACTCTCGCGAGTCAAGAAGGTCACTGCCTCTGCATGTTTTACGTTTCCTCTCGTCCTTCACCTGCTATCTGATTACACATGTGAAGTTATGTACATCAATATATATTACAGTAGATCTTCTAGGTCAATGTCCATGACGGAAGAACTATTATTTTGCGTCCGTGATTTGCGGTAAGGGCTTGCGGCATCCCTAAAAACTTCGTCGTCATCGTCGTCATCGTCATCGTGATGATCGACGTCTGCCGCGAATCCATCGTGTTGCTCTTCTTCATCTCCCTCGATGACCTCAGAGTTGTACCCACTCTCCGCCTCTGGGACGTGATTGAAATCACCACTTGACGCAGCTGTTGGTGCAGGGGAGTGTATCTGATCCATTCCACGCTCTGTCGCTTGCGGTGTAGACGCGATCAAGACAGACGCTCCGAGACGGTCATCGGGAGCTGCGGGTTCCGTTGTGGAGCCGTGGGCACTCACAACCGAAGATCCTCGCAGCTCTGCGTTTTTCTTTGCTCTCTTCCGAGCTTCAGTTTGCTGTCTACTTTTTTCCCTCTGCGCTTTCTTCTGTGCCTCGGTTTTCTCGACCTCTGTTCTTTTAGCCGCATCCAATGCAGCCTCTTCTTCTTCTTGATCGTCCAGATCCCACTGCTCCTTCATGAATTCCGGGTACCGCTCGCAAATAGGACGCCAAGTCTGAGTTTGATTTGCATTATGATCAGTGTCCTTGAGCACACTATCTATGTCAGGGGGAGGCGGAAAGTCGAAATTTGGGCCTGGATTCAAGCGCACGCGGGCATAGTTGAACAAGGAAATGAATGGGTAATACCCCAGTGTTCCGTCATCAAAAGGATTTTCTTTATGTTCTCGAGGGGCCCCTTCACGCGCTCGTTTCTTGTCTTTTTCCTTCTTCCTCGACGCAGGCGTCGTGCGCAAAGGCAGGTAATCGAATAGGTCTTCGAACGCAATGCCTTGGCATTCACCATTGACGAAGAACGCAATGTAAGAGTCTGGCAAGGTTGGTAGAGGGCGGAGAATAGGGGCTTCTAATACCCGTCCAGGACGTACGCCTCGCTCTGGGAGGTTTTTTGTTGATGCAGCTTTCTTGTTTGAAGAGGCGGATGGGAGTGATGCCGTATTGCTTGATTTATTGGAGAAGTCCATAAGAGCGGTCATCTCTTTGCTCTGAGGATACTCGAGACTTTCGAAATACTCCTGGCCCTTGAACTCGATAGGGATGCGTTCACGTCGAATATGTGCGGGGTCGTGATTGTCACCGGGATCGGGTTTGCGTCGAGATGGAAGGGATATGTACATGCCAATAACATCCCCGCTACGGAAGGAACAGCCATAAGGGCGAGGACGCGATAGATAGACCTTATCACCATTGTTGTCACGATAACCATACGAATATGCATCTAAACCAACTGGACCATTCAAAGGTGCTTCTCGTCGCGCCCAGCCAAGTCGGACATGACTTCCCTGACGCATGTTAATATCTGGGGCGTGAGTAGAGCGATCTCCTCCACCATCCTCGACGCGAACCTCCATATACCACTTGCCCTCACGGACGGGTGCATTACATCGCGCACTCCTGAAACCTCTTTCACCGATTAACCCCAGGCCATCAGGAGTGACCTTGACGAAGGAGCTGCGATCCTCCCAGCTAACTCTGTAGCTTGTGGGCAGACTTTCGATTGTTCGGCATGGGAGGGCGGATCCAGGGGGTGAAACACCTGCTGGGACGTATCTGAAGGCCATACGGTTCATAGCAAGCTGTTCTGTGGTATGATACACTACAGAAGTATCCATGAATGTAGGGAACCGCGATATTGTAAGACGAGGACGAGAGAAAAAGTCATTTCGGGTGGGTAGAGCAACATTGGCTGCTATGCTTGGGTTGTTTGGATCATTGGGTGCAGGAGATGCTTCAGGATGAGAAGCGACCTTGCGTTTCTTTGAAGGAACCAATAGAGGAGTGGATGGCCTTGAACCACTTGGTCCGTCTACTATGCTCGAGCTCGAGTCTGCAGCTACCATTGCTCGCGATGACCGGCTGAAAGCAAGTTAAGTTGCAACAACAAAGTGTCTGTCCGGATTTGGTCGAGTTTGTCATTATTTCCGTTTTGGTCAAGTCACTGTCATTCTACCCGTGACTCTGAGTCCTAGTACCACTGTTGGTCCACAACTTAATAGAAGACCCATGATGACTGCCCTCAGGTATGAATTGCTGAGCCACTTATTGATTCAGGATCTCAATCGTTTACAGGCGAATTCAAAAGGTGCCCTTCCTCTCTTTCGTGAGGATGCCATGAACTTGACCTTCGCGCCCCTGGATGATGTCTAGGAGCTCCAAGATATCACAAACAGACCGCTCGATGTGCGTAACCCGTGGCACAGCAGATGTAGCTTTATCTAACTAGCGATGTTTAGGGAATAACAGTCGAACCAGAAGCAGATAACTTACTCGTTTGGAAGTGTTCAGTGAAGGGCTCTGTAAGTATCATTAGTAGCATTTAATTTCCCTCTCTTCCATTCACATCTCTACATATCAAGCCAGATAGCCCATATAAAACTGGGACATTCCACTTCAAGATCGAGCTCCCGACGAATTTTCCATTCAAGGCGCCGAATGTGAGTTATCAACCTTTATCTTCTATGCCGTTGCATATCCATCCATCCGAGTCGAACCCCGAAACGTTCCACTATGCTCATCAGTTCGATCGAGTTTCTAACCTTCATAGCTCTTACTTCGTTTTCGTGTCATTTACGTGGGGGTTCATCCACGGCATCACTAGGTCACATTCTTAACTAAGATTTACCATCCCGGCATCAACGAAGAGGGCCACATTTGCGTTCCCATTCTTCGTGATGAGGTGAGGCCAACGTTTTCTTCACCCACAGGGATAGTATAATTAAGCTCTATTCGACCTGTCAAGTGGAAGCCATCAGTAACACTATCAACAGGTAAACTTACCTCGGAAATATTCCCTGTGATTCTTTCGGGCTGATAGATCCATGCTTTATTTGTAGTGCTGGCGGTAATTCAAGAGAAAGTGAATAATCCAAGCCCGGACGATCCGTTCGAGCCTGAAATCGCTGCAGTGAGATTTTGGTCTTGGCTGTAGTTGATGTAGACCCCTAACCGTTATGATTTTCAGTTGTTAAAGAACGACAAAGCAAAGTTCTTAGCTACAGCAAAGGAATACACGAAGAAGTAAGTGGCGTCTTACCCTTTTTCATAAAGGGCTTCTTTCGTGTAATATGAGGTATACTTACTGGCGTCAGGTACGCAATGTAGGCTCGGACGGTAGCAAACCGCTTCCCGCGACAGCTCTGAGTTATCCTGATGTAGTATGGGGACTCAGTAGAAGATAAAGGGGTTGTCATAAATGAATTTCGGTATCCTGCGGGCGTCACTGACATGATGCCCGCGTGTGTATTATTTACATACTTAAAGCCAGTCTGCTTCACTTCATGTGAGCTGGGCGAAGGGAGTTAGATCTGTGTTCACGAGGCCTGGAACGAAGACACCGCAGCAGATATTGGTCAAGGATCTAGAATCTTGAAACTGATAGGGCTTGGCATGCAGGGTGTTGCGGCTTTCATTGGCATTAACGTGGAGGACATTCAACCATTCTGTTGAAAGCTGGACAAACTTTGAAGGAGGGAGCAAGCTAACAGGATGAACTTGTTAGTAAGATAATTACTTGAGCGTACACCGCTTAAATTTTTGTGGCAATTTCCTGTGCATGAGTCTCCAAGCTTAGCTCGCTGCCAAAGGCTCGGATGACCGAAAGCACATAAATCACACCCTCCTTCTTTATTCCGCTCACCGTTATCTTGCTTTACGTGTAGACTTCAGGTCCATCAGGATCTTTTGACGGTCCTATTCAAAGCAGTCTGAAAGAAGGATATTTTCCGTAAAGACACCAACTCGTGTCCACCACGTTGCACATCAGGCTCATTTCCCAGAAAGTCTCGAGATCCAATAATCCAAGCGCCCTGCCTCGTGTACTAAACGAGGGTTCCTGCCAGCAAAAACCATGCATCGTTTCCGGTGAGCCTGCTGCTCTCTACCTTTTCAATTACGAGCCTCATTCGCGTATCATATATCTCGTCACCTCACTGCTGCGATTAAACGGCTTCTTCGCTTTACCTTTTATTGTTGACGTGCCTTAGCAAAAGGTCCGACCCTATTACCACAAGTCACCCGTTTGACGAAGACTGGTTCACACCGACATCTGAGCACAAGCAATTACTAGCACTCCCGCCTGCTAGTGACTTTCGGACGTCACTCATATTGCCAGAGTGCGTCACAGACCTGTCTTGTCAACCTTACAACACTCTCACAATACAGGTACCTAGTCTTACTCGTCGTTTCACGCTTCTTCGCTCCTCCTCCGGCGATCCTCTTACACTTGACGATCTCAGGTCTAAGTTTGCGGAACAGAGAGCCCGTGGTGTGCCAAACCAGATATCAGAGGAGGAAGAGGACATGATCCTTGAGACGCTGGGGCGGATGCGTACCAAAAATGCTGCGCCCAGTACCACTTTGAGCAGCAAACTTGAGGGCGGCTCTGGCGCTAATGCGACTGACCTGGGAATGGAATCCGACTACACCCATGAGCGTATCTCTCATATATCCACCACGACCTCTTCGACCACATACCCAGCTTCATCTGTTACTTCGTCGCCGTCGCCGAGTTCGCGTTCAACAAAGAGGTACAGCAACAATCTTTTTGCATCTGGGCGGTTTCGCGAGTACAGCTATTTACGCTCTGTGTCGCAAAGAAGTGGCAGCAGCCGTGGCGCAGCCTCTACAACGCCATCAGACTCCGATCATAGTCTCAGAGAAAAACCCTCGTCAAATTACTCCGAGAGTTTGAGACCTGCAACCCCCGAAGGCAGCGGTCCTGTATCTTCAGTACCTTCCAGCCCCAACGACAAGACTCCCTTGGCTCGTTCCACGTCATTAATATCCTCTATCGAAGATTTTCCTTCGCAGGCGCTCGCGGACAACAACAAAAGTGGCACACATCCATCAAGTAACAGTTCCGTCAGCGTTCAGCGCGTTGAACTTGCTCTGGAGTGTGTTATACGGGATTTTGAAGAGGAGGCTGAGGATGAGATACTCATGCCTAGAACAGCACATCCTGCCCCACGGTCGAGTGACGTAGAACAGTCGAGTGCCTCATCTCCAGCTAGTGATTCGACGTCAGGAGCTTCGGTGGGGAATTTGATTTCTTCAAGAACTTTATACTGAACCATGATGTCAGACCCAATCACCCAATGACTACGAAGGTGGAACCGCAATATCATCAGATAAGCAGATGAACATTGACAACGAGAGGCAACGCTTTTCCCCAACCCCATTGGGTCGTGCGGGTACCATCTCCCCCACCCCTCGTCTTCCAGGTTACATTCCCGGAATGCCTCGTCCCATGACGCCTCGTGATCCCTCATTTGACTCTGATGATGCTCGTGCGCATTCCGCAACTCCACGTGCGATGTCACCTACGCTCCCAAACGTGAATGGAGCATCGCTCATCACCACCACCTTCACTTCAAGTTTACTCCGGCGAGGTTCAGATGCATCTCGTAGCACCCCACGACCTATCTCACCGTCCGTGGCCCCACCTGCAAGCTCATTTTTGTCACGTAGTGCTGGTGGTCAATACTCGTCGGACAGTCAACGCGAGAGCGCGAGTGGTACTGACCAGGAAGTCTCTGTGTCATCCGCCTTCAGGAGGAAACCTGTATCTCCATTGACGGGCTCCGCCTTGCGACCCATGGTTGTATCTTCTCGACCGGGTACTCCATCGAACATAACTTGGAATGTCAACTCACCCTCTAGTACACCTTCTAACTCCAACCGCACTCACAGCAGGCGGGGTAGTTCTTCTAGTCACAGTCACAGTAGAAACGGTAGTTTGAGCACGGACACTGATCTTCAGTCTAATGCAGATAAATCTAAATCTCCAAACCGGCCAATTCGAGTACCTGTGCCTCCTGAGAGTCCCGTTTACCCTCAGGCGCCCAATGCTGGAGCGTGGAATCGTTCGACTAGTCCTGCTCCTGTGGACCATCGTTCCCCCTCTAGCCTTTCAGGTGTCGTCAACTATGGGTCCTCACGTTCATTTTCGACCCGCAGTATGCGGTCTCCCACTCCCACCCAGTCTCGGTCCACTACCGCCTCTCCTGCATTCTCATCAAACGACTCCCCGAGCTTCTCCAACCATGCCACCGTCCGTTCATCAAAACATCATCACAAGTCATCATCGCATTTCTCTCTTGGACTCTCTCAGCCTGTTGCCTTTTCGGCATTGACCAACTCATCTCAGTCTTCACTGGAATCCACTGGATCCAGTTATCACTCATGGTCTGCTGAGCAGAAGAAAGATGTAACTGTCGACCTCTTCAGTGATGTCGAACAACAGTCCAGGTGGCATGATCTGGACAAATCTAGCTCCGTCACTCCAGGTAGCTTGCAGGATGACGACTTTGAGGACATTATACGGCGGTATGCAGGTCTGACTAAATCCGATTTTGTGGTCATTCAAGACAAGCTGGTGAGCGCCGCGCGCGCAAAGGAAAATAATACAGAGCCTCGAGAGCGGACCAACTCGCTTCGGAGACGGAGGCCATCGACCTCACAGTCGAACTATTCTCAGAACGGTCGTGATAACCGGGTTTGTCCTCTTCTCTTACTCCATTTTACTTATGACTGACGACCGGTCACAGGTTGCGAGCCCGCCGCCGAACCAACCGGCTGCTTCCCAGGCGTCCGCTACCGGACGGCGCTCCCCAGCGCCTGATCAAGCTGCCAAGGCTCATGCATTACTTGACTCCGTCGTGGGGAGCATCCCCCGCGCACCTGCGATTGGCGTTGTGACCGATAACAAGGTAGAATTGGAGGATCCCTCAGAGATCAAGGCGTCCCCTACTACCACGCGTCGCAATAGGGATTTAGCTCGCGCCCTTGGCTTTGGAGACGAGCAAGGAACTATAGAATCACCGCAGGACAAAAGTCCACCTGTAGAAGATGTACCACAGTCCAGTGATCCACCGCAGACTCAGGTACCACCGACAACAACTCCCCAGCCGGTCGCGTCGCTTGTTCAGGATGATATTCAGTCATCGTCCAATTCACTCCCATTACATTCGGCTTCGATACGAAGTCCTGGACCATTGATGGATCAGGCCGAACTTGTAAACGAAGTTCGGCGGAAAGCAGAAGCTGCTACTGCTGCGTTGATGAAGACCTCTTCTGGCCAAAGATTTACTGACGTCAATGCCTCAAGTGTATCTGTGACACGGAAGAAAATCACCCCCAGCCAGATATCTGCACCCCATTTAGTGTCAGCACCTACCAGTGTAGAAACCATCCCTCTTCCACAACAGCCAAAGACTCCTCATTCTACTCTCGCCCATCAGCCCTCTCTGAATATCACCCAGAGGATGAGGCGTCTCCGTAATACTCTGAGAGTCAAACAGCCAGTTCCGAGTGGTGAAGAAGTTACGCCCTTCCCTCTGGACCTCCAGCCCAGAACTGCACCGTCCCCCTCGGCTTCTCTGAACCGCAGGCCAACATTACCTCTTACCAAGGGTTATGCCTACGGAAGCTCGACAGATTTGGGCAAGGCTAAGTCACCGACATCAATATCCAGTCCCCCGGCCTCAGCTACCCCTGGCCTGAGAGGCTTTATGTCCCGCTTCCGAAAGCGTGCAGCAGATACTCAAGCTGAAAATAGTAATGGGCTTTCGCGAGCTTCTCCAACCACTCCTTCTCCGACGACTTTGTCACATCATGGTCAAGGCCTACTTGGTTCTCCCGTTAATACCGTTTCACCCACTTCGGCACCTGTCCTGGCTTCTCCTTCTGTGCCTATAGTAGGTAGCGTTCGGCCAAGCATCGACGGAGCGCCAGCGATGGGCAATGATTCTGCTGCCGTCAAACAGTTGTTTGAGGCAGCTACCAATCTTGGTCTTGATCAAGCCGCATTAAATGACCTGTTAGCACGGTCTGCCTCAGTTTCATCACGCACAGCGGGCTGGTCTCTGTCAAGGAGTACATCAAACAATGCGGCAGGTTCATCCATAGCACGAGGTGACCTCTCAGCCATGCGATCTCGATCACCTCTCCCAGAACCACAATTTAGCGATGATGGCGGCATCAGCAGCGGAGGAGATGATAGGACTGTGAGAAAACTCTCCATTCGCAGAGCGGGGGAATCCAGTCACAATCATCAAGGCATTCCTGAGAATCCCGCTATTGTCAGGAGAACGCTTATCTTTCCCTCGGACTTTCGTGCATCTAAAACGGACTTGAGCCAGATGGCGCGTAAGCCTTCGGGTAAGCGTCATCGTCGGCCGGGCAGCGCCACGTCTGCACAGTCTGGTCGTTCAGTACATGACCGCGCACCTACCCCACCGCCACCGAAGTCGAACGGAGGAAAGCGATTCTCAACCGATCGGTCACCTCCTTTACCCACATCAATGACCGCCCAAGCTGAGGTTCTTTTAAATCCTTCAACGTTAGGTGCACCTGTCGAGAAGCCGAACTCTGCGTATGATTCTCTGTGGGTAATTATTTTGTCCGTTGTTCCGTAT